TTAATGTGCTGTAATATTTTTGTTGAGTTTTCTTAGTTTTGCGGTAAAAAAAGACCTTATCTGTTTAGACCTGTTGACCCGTTACTAAACTTTCTTTTTAAAATAGACCCCTTTTCTAATGTCTTTTGGCAGTTTGTCTGTTTCTCTTATAGGATAGCGGAGTTCTCTTTTGATCGGCCTGCCTTATTTCTTCTTATTCTGGTAGTAGCAATTAGTAACAAACGATAAATCATTTATCTACGAAATATGAGAAATATTGACTACTAATCAATGGAAAATTTCAGTATTAGTTATTAGTTGCTTATGTTGGAATTATTGGCTTTTAGCATATGACTGTGATAAATCAAATTTACATGGGCAATGCTGTACACTAGATTTAAAGACTAGGCTGAAACCTCTAGATTGCAGTAAAAACAGGCAGCTTCGGTCTCTCAGAAAAAGTCTGAAAAACATAGAGCAAACTGCTATATAATCCATAAGTACAACTGTAGTACATACGCTACTGCTAATAATCGATCTTTATGAACAGGCTTATTCCCACTGCTTTTGTTATTTGAAGATTAAAGGAAGGAAAATGCTTGCTCCAGGTGGGACTTGCAATGGTCATTGTTGAAAGTGCTGTTACATCTATATTCATCTATTATGCAGAAGACCCCTCATTGATTCAAAGATGGGATCCTCAGTTCTTTAACCAAATATCGAAGACACTGCGCACCAGCGTCTTCGGCACAGGAGTACACCAGCCAGGGAAGTTTTGGCTCACAACCAGCTTGACAGCTACATGCAATAGACATTCCTTCTTTGAAAACTTTACATTTATTAACCAAAATGTTAGTGTAATTCATCCTTTATAAATTATTATTCCAAATATAAATGACTTTGTTTTATAGGTCTTGCACTGTTTTTTTTCTCTCATTCTTTGTTACAAGTTACAACAGGAACAGGTAATTATCTTTAGGAATTGGTTGGATTCTGTAGCGGGTGTCGTATATTCAAAGGAAATAAGAGCTTTATGTTATTACTTATTACCATGTTCATAGATTTACTATTTCCTACCAAGTGGCTTTTCTTCTCCTTTTATTTTTTTTGTTTGATAGTGACTTAAGGCTTGGCTGGTTTCCGAGACTAGTCAGAATGTCATGGCTCATGGTCCTGGGGGCGCAGGCGCTAGCTAGGAATTGGATTTTAATGCAAATTGTGGGGGAGTGGTGAGCGGAGCCCGGGATATGCATATTTGGCTGAAGCAGAAACTTACCTTTTGCATGCTAGAAAATGAATTGAGATGGTCCATGACTAAAAGAAGTTAACACAATTTACACCCAAATGCGGTGGCAATATGATTGATGGTAGCAGGTGATTTCTGAGAAGGATTCAAGTTTCAACCCTCTTTCAGCGAAGGGAAACGAGCCAAATAGCCAGCTAATGCAAGTTCCATTCTTTTGCCTTTACGTGTCTTCCTTTGGTATGTATACTTGAGTGTGCTTCCTATACGAGCTTTAATTTCTGCGCTTACAAATCCAAGAAGAACAATAACTGAAGAGGAAATGTGTTAATATCATGATCAAATTATATATTAAATCTAGTACTAGCATTTATTATTATCAGTATCTCAGACTATGAGAATCATTAATTTTTTGGGAGGAGCAAGATTCTTGTTGCTATGATTTGATTTTCTTCATGCAAATATTGCATGTCAAATATATGTAATTAAGAAGCATAATCAGAACCTGCGCTGTCCTAAAAAAACACCCAGATAAAAAGGGTAGCTTTAATTGTTTACAGAGAACGTGGATATAAAGAACGAGGGAGATTTGAAAGGAGAAAAAGAAGTGTGACCGCAATCAATCTAAAGAGAAGAAGTTCCCGCCTTCTTCACCCTCAAGTGACGTCGCCCAGCCAGACAGAAAGATTTGAAGTAAACAGAAACTGCTATTATTATTATTTTTTGTTTTTATTGTATAATATGTGTTTAAAATAGTAATACATTAGTATTTTTAAACCCGCAAGAAACAAAATCTAATTAATAAAAACAATAAATATCGTCTGCTGCGGCTCTGCTGCAACATTTGGTCCAAGAAAACCGCCCCAGGGCCTTGGTTCCTCCCTTCCTTGCGGTTGCTTTCAAGCAAACCCCCTTGTCTTAGATGAATTGAATTTAATCTCGTTGAAGTTCATGTTTCTTTTTCTTTATTTAGGAAAGAGACGAGTACTGTTCGGGGATTAAATTATATAACATCTCGTCACCATCACATCATCGAAACGTGCAGACACTTTTCCCTGGGGCTATAAGAGTCTACGTGTCACAGTACACAAATTTACAGAGATGATAGAGGAAAAATAGACAAGGAAAAGGAATCCAAGCAAAGCAAAGCTAGCTCTACCTAACAGCCAGTAGCAACATCCTCCTCTAGAGCTCTAGAGAGAAGACAGAATCGGGGTTTAGGCTCTCAGCTGAGAGAGAGAGAGAGAGAGAGAGAGAGAGAGAGAGAGAGCTTAACAGGATAAATTGAAGTGAGAGAGGGAAGGAGAGACGGCCAGAGGAGAAGACAAGGGTTGGGGGTTTCTTTCTTGGGGAGTGGGCTATTTACTACTGACTTGCCTGTTCAGAGCGTGCACACAATAATCGCAACATCAGCAAATGTATCATTCATTTACCCACTGTTTATGCATGCATGCATGGAATTTGCATGCTGCTAGCTGCTAAATACTAATCGCTGAGAATATTGCGCAAAGTCAATACTTTCCGATTAACTCTCATCCTCCCCTGATTTCAACGTTAATTTCTCTTTGACTAAAAATCTCTCTTTTCTCGTAGACACGTAATGAACAAGTTACTAGCTTTATCTATGGCCAGAAAACATTAGAGAGGAGACTTGTTTGTTTCCGTTTCTCTCCCTTTCCAGTTTCTAAGCACAACAATCATGGAATGAATTTGAGACAGATATTGCTGCTAAACCTTCTATAAGCTAGAAAAACTAGACTTAGAAGAAAATAAAAGTCTTGCTATTATCACTTATTACAAAATTAGTGAAAAAAATGTCATTATTTTTTTCAATAAACAATTAAAAAGATTTTATAAATATATTGAAGGAAACTTTTATTTTAAAAAATTTAAACCTTATTCTTTTCATATTTTTATAGGTACTAAGCAATCATATTTAGTTGTACGAGTAATACGTTATCATTAAATAAATGAGAATCTAAAGAAACATTTTATAGTTATAATAAAAATTGATGGAAAAGAATTATTATTGATTTTAAAGAAAAAAATATTCATGTTTATTTTTAAAATAAAAAATTTATTATTCCTAAAATTATATTTTTTTCATATGCATGAAGATATACTTCTAAGTAATAATTTTCTTTATCAATATTTTCTGATTTCTTTTTTATTTGACAATCTTACACTCACTATAGATAAACAATCTATAGATATAGCCCTTATCAGAAATCACAAAAATATTTGTGACAAAGATTCTTATCCTGAAGCAAATCAAGCTGAAATCAAATGATCAATGAAAAACATTGATTATACAAAATTATAGCAAAAAATTTTAGTAGAAAACCACTAAAATTATAAAATAGAAATCTCCGTATATGTAAGCTAGAAATAGTTGATCCAACAAAGATCATCAAAGTCAAATTAATGATCTATACCAAATAAGATATAGATAAATTTAAAATTTAAATTTCTGATCTACTCTTTAAAGGGTTAATTGAACCAACAAATAGCTCTTATTCTAGTCCAACTTTTTTAGTCACAAATCATTCTCAACAAAAAAAAGAGGAAAGGTCGTATGATACTCAACTATAAGAGACTTAATCAAAATCTTATTTCCAATGGGTATTTTACACCAAGAAAAAATATTTTAATAAATTTTGCAAAAAATACAAAATATTTTAGTAAATTTGATTGTAAATCAAGATTTTGACAAATCATGTTTTTTAAACAATTCAAACCTTTAATTACTTTTAGTATATTAACAGGCCATTATCAATGGATTGTTATGCTTTTTGGATTATATAATGGTCCACAAATATTTCAAAGGTAGATAGATAAATTTTTTTCAAATTATAAAAATATTTTGTTGTGTTTATATAGATGATATATTAGTATTTTTTAAAATCTTACTAAACACAAGACATACTTAAATATTATTGCTCAAGAATTTATTACGCATTGTATAATACTCATTCCAATTAGAAAAAACTAAAATAGAATTTTTAGGATTAAATCTTTCTTCATATGGTCTTACTCTTCAAGATCATATTATTTCAAAAATCAAAAGATTTTTCAGAACAATCGAAAAATCAAAGCCATTTACAATAATTTCTAGATCTTCTTGATTATGGGAGATAATTTTTTAAAAACCTCTCTAAAAAAGAGAAACGTTTACAAGAAAAACTCAAAAAGAATGTAAAATTTTCTTGGTCAGATCATGATTCTTATATTATTAAACAAATAAAATCAAAACTTACAGATATTCCAAAAGTTTATTTTTCTAAACAAAAAGATTATCTGATTTTAGAAACAAATGTCTCATATAAATATCGGGGATGTATTTTAAAAGCAAAAGTTTAAAATAATGAAATTATTTGTAGTTATAATTTTGACAAGTTCAAAATTAAATATATTATTTTTGAAAAAAAAACTATTAGCTATTAAAAATATTGTTTTCAAATTTTATATTTTTCTGACACCAAAACATTTTATTATCAAAACAGATAATCAATTTGTTCTTAGATTTTTTAAAAAACAAAAAGATAGAAACTAAACTAACAAATATAATTTTTTATATCAATGTAGTTTTACTATTGAATTTATTAACGTGACAAAAATTTTCTCACAGATTATCTCAATCGCCCAGATGATAGAAGTAAAAAACCTCTACAACACATGGAGAACCATTCAAAAGAGGCAAACCAAAAAGGTTTCATCCTCTTCATCTTCATCAAAACAATATCCTAACCCACGATATATACCACTACAGTACGTTCCAAAAAGATATCTTCCACAACAGATTCCTCATAGACCTTATTATATCTTTCCCCAACAAATTGTAATACAACCAGTAATGCAGTCTCCTCAAAACTTTTCTTAATTTGTACCGGATCCAAATAAATGAACTCCTATTTCTTATTCTGAAATTGTTCGATCAACAGAAACCCTGTTGAAAGATACAAAAACGATCGAAAGTTGGCAGTAAAGAAGGGAGAGTGAAGCAGACGCAGAGCAAGGAGAGAAGGATGGAGTGATGCAGGCAAAGGTGCGGTTTTATTGGTAAACTAAAATCCCAAGTCTGAACGCAATAATAAAAAACCTGATGTTTTTTTTAAAACTCAAAAACGAAAATTGACCCGTACTGATACGCTCACCTTCCTCCATTAAAGATCCTTTCCCTGAAGGACACTTCTCTGTGTTACTCTTAGCGCCTTCATTTCTTTCTAAGCAGCGCAGCAGACTCTCACTTTATAGGAAAAGAAAAAAAATGCAGAGCTTCAAAGCTGCAGCTCCTACAAACCCATACATGTTTCGCCACTCTTCTTTTTTTTCTCAGGTATATTTACTTACGTACTTATTTCCTTATTAAGCCATTATTTTGGTTTTTGTTTCGTTGAATTGATAGTGCATGTCTTGATTACAAGGCAATGGTTATTTCTGTTGTAGTACAAAGAAAGAAACATGTCTTTGTCCTAACTCTTTCAGTGTCTTTGTTTGAGTTGAAAACAGAGGAGACGATTGTAATAGCCGTCACCAGACGCGTTTCTCGGATCTTGGTGAGCTTGATCATCCCGCTGCTGCTTTTCATCGCGATTATGCTGTCGATTTGAGCCCAAGTATTCTCCCTTTTTATCTAAAATTATATTTTTTTTCCTTTTTTCTTTTCTTTTCCTAACTGCTCCCTGGAACCTTAAGCTTCTCTAACTACTTTCTCTGTTTATAAAATTCCTGTTAGGCTCCATTTTTACTTTAAAATCCAGCAATGTTGCTGTTGTTGCTAATAGCTTGCACTTTGGCGCCTTGAACACGTTACTCAACCCCCCTTCCCACCCAAACTCTTTGTACATAAGAGACATAAGCTTTTTTGTATATATTTTGTATTGTTTTGGTGCTCTAAGTAAATGGTATCGCTTTCGTGCAGAGCATTGGGTTAACAGAGATAGTTTCAACTGGAACGGGGTGCTTGGACACAGGACATTTCATGTATGAGAAGGGGACAACATTTGGTGCCTCGTTGGGAAGTGGGCATATAGAAAACTGGGGTAACTCTGGCCTTGCTGATAATAGCCAACAGACTGACACCTCTACCGATGTTGGCACCGATGATAAAAACCAGGTTTTGTCTCTGTTTCTTTCGTGCTCTTTCTTTCTTTCGTGTGTTGCTGCAATGGGAACACCTTTAAGCTAGAAATTTGCATGCATTAGAATCATGTTTTGTTCCAAAATTTTGCTAGGTGTAATACAAAGTTATAATACTTGTTGGGTGATTGTGATGATTACTTCCTAATTAGTAGGATTGCCTAAATCAGACGACAGTAATTAATGCTTACGATTTCTAATGTTCTCATACCTAGTTCGACACTCGTCATCTTTTAAAATGATCTTGAAAATTTGCTGGCCGACACTTTTTGTTGTTAACCGATGAAAGAAATTTGATAAACGAATTGTTGCCAACGTAATATTTTTGATTTGATAGTGAATTGTTGCTTAAATCTGAGTACTGGTGTTGCTTTAAATTGGTTGGCTTTGGTGGGATATTAAATTGCTTCTTACTTATTAATGTTGTTATAGCTTCATGGAGTTCAACGTGGAGCTATTATTACGGTGGATTCTGTGGATCAATCCAAGTCAAAAACTTGTGACCAAAAGGTTGTAAAACATTGTTGAAGTTATGGAATCAATTTTAATATTTGAAAGCCAACTGTGTGGCTTCTTGTTTTTGTTCTTCAGACACTTCGCAGGCTGGCTCAGTATCGAGAAGCTGCAAGGAAGAGTAGGTTGAGGAAAAAGGTAATGTGCATATTTCTTGTTTATATATTTTTCCTTTTCTGTGGTGGAAAAATGGGATTCAGGGGCTCTCTCTGATATTCCGTTTTTCTCCAACTTCGAGTAGATTCAGTTGATTTGAAATGCCCGTAAATTTTGATCTATGGAACTAGAAGCTACATGGTCACGTCATACTATTAGTCTTCAGCTAGTTAAGGTTTAGTCAATACGGGAGAGGTAGGAAGGCTGCATGGGGTTTTAGTGCTTTATTTCTGCATTGCGGCTGAAAGCAAGGGCAGTGGGTGCGCTACTACTAAAGTATGATGGATATCAATATTTGGGGAAAGGTTTGTTATCTGCTATGCCATAATTGAATGTTGCTGAGAATAGTTGTCTAAGGTATTCAAAGCAAAAGCTCAGTGACTTATTAAGTGACAGGTTTGATTTATGCTTAAAATGTTTACTCCCACACTTGAATAAATATGAAAGAGGTAGGTCAACAGAGATGGTTACACACTCTAGTGGCTTAAGCCCTTGGGTGAATGTTCTGAGTTGAAGTAATCAGATGCACCTTTTCCTCTGAGAAAGTCTCTATTGGTCCTGTAAGGTTATTGTTCTTCTGTACAGATATATGAGGATTCTCTTTGATATGCTGGTTGTTCAATGTTTTGGTTAAAATATGGTCTAGCAAAAGAATGGAAGAAGTGTATTGATACCTTAAGCCCTTATCAATTGCTTTTTAAAAATGCATGACTCTAGTGATAATGTATATGAAAATGCAGTACTTGGTTGTCATCTGCCTTCTTTTTTTTCACTAGTTAATCAATGAAGCATGCTTGGATCATTTATAGGTTTTGGTTTTTGGATAGGTATATGTCCAGCAGCTTGAGAATAGTCGACTTAAGCTCATGCAACTAGAGCAAGAGCTTCAAAGAGCACGACAGCAGGTATAAGAATTAATTCTGTTTAGTGAAGTATGGGGCTGATGGGAGGGGATGTGGAATCTCTAGTTCAGGATGCACTTCCTCTTACTTTTTCTTCTCCATAGATTCAAAAGTTATAATATTTGTTATTATTTTTTACCATGTAAGTCAAGTTATTTTTGTTTCTAATTAGCTTCATGTTTTAATGCAGGGTATTTTTATTGCATCTGGAATTTCTGGGGAGCATGGCCATTCAGTTACTGGAAATGGTGAGGAAATTTTAGATAATGTCTCCAGCGTCAGTTCATAGTGTTAACTAGTATTTCATTCACAGCTCTAAAGCTATCCTTGAAGAGCTTTAGTTTGGAGTACTAAAGGTTGGGAAAATTATTTAGTTGTGGCCTCAACCACAAATGACTAGCCACATATGTCAATATGAGCTGTATGCAGTAATTGTTTTCATAGCTTTGGACCAACCTTGCACTCTTAAGCATTGTTGACATACTTCATGCTCATATATTCAGAGATCTTAGTGATGACATTAGTTTTTGGATCAGAGCTGCTAAATGTGTTACTTGGAGGGATCATATTGCCTGCATTGTTAATTTCACATGCAAAAGTAATTATTTTGATCATCCTCGCCCCTTCTCTCAAATGCATTTAGTATTTGTGCGATTTCCTTGCAATTAAAAAATTTCCGATCCCTTGCATCGTAACATTGGGGAAGGTATATATATAACCATGTATTTTTTGCTAATTGTTAGACTGATACCGTTCATTGATGGCTGAAGTCTGGTGAACCTAAGAAAGACACATGTATGCATAAGAGTTGTTGAAGGTACAGGATAGGACGAATATTGGTTTAATTAAAGGTGGAGATTCACCCATATCTTCACACGGGTGTTAGACAGCCAACTGATTTGGCTTAAGGATATAGGAAAAACTAAATTCATTCAGAGTGCGCATTGTGCTAGGACTGAGATTGTAGCAAATAAAGAAAATTACTTATTGTGAGAAAATATTTATTTACAGTTGGTTATAATTTTGTAATTTATATATTTATATTTGTATCTTTAGAATTAAGTATTTGTATCCTTAAAATTAGGATAGATAATTCCTCAATTATAGGATTAGTTCTTTAAGAAGATTTAGTTTCTTAGTTTAACACCTAGTTAGTTGTATATAAACCTAAGATTCTTGTATAATTCTCAATGAGCAGTTTTTCAATATACATTCAATTTTCATACTAATTTATTTCTTAGTTTTTCCACATGGTATCAGAGCTTTAGGCTCTTCTTGGGAAGCAAAATTTTCAGCCTTCATTGTTGACTTTTATTTTAGATCTTCATTGCCGAATCCTATTTAGGCATTCATTGTCGAACTTTCAAAGAAAGATATCACTACCAACCAATTTGAGGAAATGTCAACTGAAAAAATCACTGGAGTACTACAGATGCATCAAAAACAAAGAGAGTTCGACAGGGAAGAGATTGAAAAACTGAAAAACTTATTGAAAATTCTTGAAAAGTCTACTATGGTATGTTCTTTGGGTAAAGTTTCTAGTTCAGGTAAAGCTTTCGGTTCTCATGGATTAAATGTCTCAATTAAGCTTATTACGAGTTCTTGGGTCATTGACTCAGGAATCACAGACCATATGACACATTTGTCACAAAAGTTTAATACATATAACCTGTGTCCTAGTAATAAAAAAATTGTTGTTGCAGATGGTTCACTTACTACAGTGGCAGGATTAAGAGATGTTCAAGTTAATCCCTCATTTGTTCTAAAAAATGTTAATGTTCCTGGATTGTCTACTAATCTGATCTCTATACAAAAATTTATCAGAGATATGAATTGCAAAGTAACTTTTTATCTCTTTTATTGTGAATTTCAGGATCAGAGTTTGAAAAAGATGATTGGACTTGCTACAGAGAAGGATGGACTATACTATATTGAGACATCAAATAACACAAGTAATATCAAGAATAATTTACCTTTGTCATTTTTTTCTGAAAAATCTTCTAATAAAAACAAAATATAGCTTTATCATTTTCGTCTTGGACATCCTTCTTTTGAAACTTTGAGAAACATGTTTCCTTCTTTGTTCAGAGGATTAAATGTTGAAGATTTTCATTGTGATATTTACGAACTTACAAAGCATAGACCTGTGTCTTTTCTAATCAGTAACAAAAGAAGTTCTACTCCTTTTTACTTGATTCATAGTGACATTTGGGGTCCTTCTACAATTCCTAATATTTTTGGTGTGAGATAGTTTATTTCATTCATATATGATTGTACTTGGGTCTCTTGGGGTTTTTTTACTTAAATTCAAATCAGATGTGAATAGTGTATTTTTAAGTTTTCAAAACATGATCCAAAATCAATTTGGAGTGAGAATCAAGAGATTTAGGTCTGATAATACAAAAGATTACTTCAACCAGAGTCTATTCACCTATTTTCAAAAAGAGAAAATTATCCATGAGTCATTTTGTGTTGATACTCCACAGCAGAATGGAGTGGCAAAGAAAAAAAATAGTCATTTACTAGCTACAATCCGAGCTTTTCTTTTTCAAGCAAATGTACCTAACTCTTACTGGGGGAAAGCTGTTCTCATTGTCACACACATTATAAATAGGTTACCTTCAAAAGTTTTGAGATTTAAAACTCTTATGGAACTACTCTCACAATTTTATTCTAACCTCAATACCACAAACAATCTCATATCTAGGATATTTGGTTATACATCAATTGTTCATGTTCATAGTCATAATAGGAGAAAGTTGGATCCAAGAGCGATTAAGTGTATTTTTGTGGGGTATTTTACAACTCAAAAAGGATATAAGTGCTATCATTTTCTTACCAAAAAATTTTATGTGTCTGTAGATGTTACTTTTGAAAAAAATAAATGATTTTTTACTCAATCTTATCTTCAGGGGGAGACTTCATTCATGAAATATAAGGATAAAGACTTTTTTTTGCTTGATTAGCTCTCTTTTTCAACATTTACACCCATTAATTTTTTTGAGTCAAAACCTATTTCTGCTGAGCCCAAGTCAAATACTGAATTTGAGTCTGAGCCCATTCCAAATACAGAAGATGTGACAAAGGATAATATTGTTATTGATTTTATGAAGGAATTACAGGTGTACTCAAGAAGAAAAGTTTCAGATCTTGAACTAATGTCAGTCCAAGAACCTGATCCTAACTTTGGAAATTAGGTAACTACAGTTTTTGACTCTGTTTCTCAAAATGAGCATGAATCTCCTAAAACTATAACTAGTGATTATGATCTGCCTATTGTCATTAGGAAAAGAACTAGAGAATGTACTAAGCATTCCACTATATTCAATCTCTAATTTTGTGTCATTTGAAAAATTTTTATCATCCCACAAAAATTTTCTTGTGAGCCTAAACACTTTCTGTTCCAACTACATTATCCGAGGCATTATCCAGTGAGAAATGGAGGCAAGCAATGAAAATAGAAATTGAGGGCTTAGAGAAAAATCAGACATGAGAATTGGTAGAGTTGCTTAAAGAAAAAAATTCAGTGGGGTATAAATAGATTTTCACTGTAAAATACAAGGCAGATGGTACTGTTGAAAGGTATAAAACCATGTTAGTGGCTAAGGGTTACTTTTAAACCTATGGAGTGGATTACCAGGAAACCTTTGCTCCAGTTGCCAAGATGAATACAGTTAGGATTTTGTTATCATTGGTTGCAAATTACAATTGACAGCTTCAACAATTTGATGTAAAGAATGTTTTTCTACATGGTGATTTGGAAGAAGAAATATATATGAAGGTTCCACCGGGATTTGGAGGTCATCTAGAAGTAAACAAAGTATGCAAGTTGAAAAAAGCTTTAAATGGCCTTAAACAGTCTCCTAGAGCTTGACTCGAGAGATTTGCCAAAGTGATACTAGTAATGGGATATAAACAGAGTCAAGGAGATTACACATTATTTATCAAGCGCTCTGATTCAGGGAGAGTCATAGTTCTATTAGTGTATGTTGATGATATAATTGTAATTGGAAATAATGAAAAAGAGAGAGAATCTCTAAAACAGTGTTTAGCTAGAGAATTTGAAATAAAAGAGTTAGAGAGATTGAAGTACTTCCTAGGAATTGAAGTAGCTCACTCACGGCATGGTATTTTCGTCTCACAACAGAAATATGTGATGGATCTTCTGAAGGAAACTGGGAAGCTTGCATGTAAACTTACAAATACCCCTATAGATCCTAATCATAAAATTGGAGAAGCTAATGAAGATGCTACTGTAAATAGAGAGATGTACCAAAGATTAGTTGAAAGACTCATTTATCTCTCACATACCAGATTTGATATAGCATATGCTGTGAGTATGGTAAGTCAATTTATGCATAGTCCTAAAGAAGTGCACCTACAGGCTGTCTACCGTATATTGCACTATTTAAAGGTCAATCCTGGGAGAGAAATCTTATTCAAAAGAAATTTAGGGTTAGTTCTAGAAGCATATACAAATGTTGATTATGCAGGTTCAGTAACTGATAGAAGATCCACTTCAGGCTACTGCACTTTCTTAGGTGGTAATCTTGTGACTTGGAGGAATAAAAAACAAAATGTGGTGGCAAGATCAAGTGCTGAAGTAGAGTTCAGAGCAATGACTCAAGGAATTTGTGAACTACTATGGTTAAAGATTATCCTAGAAGACTTGAAGATCAAGTGGGATGGACCAATGAGACTCTACTGTGATAACAAGTCTGCAATAAGCATTGCACACAATTTTGTGCATCATGACAGAGCAAAACATATTGAAGTAGACCGGTATTTCATAAAAGAGAACTAGACAGTGGATTGATTTGTACACCTTATGTATCAACTAAGGGTCAACTTGCAGATGTGTTGACTAAAGCTCTCAGCAGTGCAACATTTCAAGAAATTATTTCCAAGCGGGGAATGAAAAATACATATTCACCAGCTTGAGGTAGAGTATGGGAAAACACTTATTTACAGCTGGTTGTAATCTTGTAATCTGTATATTTATATTTGTATCTTTAAAATTAAGTATTTGTATCCCTAAAATTAGGATAGACAACCCTCAATTATAGGATTAGTTTTTTAGGAAGATTTAATTTTTTAGTTTAACCCCTAGTTAGTTGTATATAAACCTAAGATTCTTGTATAATTCTCAATGAGCAGTTTTCAATATACATTTAGTTTTCACACTGATTGATTTCTTAATTTTTCCACACTTATAAAGTATAATGCACTGATCATTATGAGCAATAGAGTTGATTGCATTGCAAGCCTGATTTATCATCTTTACCGAGGTGGATAACTATAGATAGAACTTATTCATTTTTATTATTTAAAAGATAATTTCCTCACGTGGTTTAATAATTGGTTATGCTTCCAGGGGCCTTGGCCTTTGACATGGACTATGCTCGCTGGCTTGATGAACATCAACTACTGATAAATGACCTAAGATCAGCTGTAAATTCTCATATGGGAGAGAATGAATTGCATATTCTTGTTGAGGGTGTCATGGCACATTATGATGAGGTTTTCAGGCTAAAAAGCATTGGTGCTAAGGCAGATGTATTTCACATGCTTTCTGGCCTGTGGAAAACACCTGCAGAGAGGTGTTTCATGTGGTTGGGAGGATTTCGCTCTTCTGAACTGATCAAGGTGCTTTTTTCTTTGATGTTTTCATTCTATTATCTAAATCTAATCCCTTTTCAATTTTGTTGAAATATCCGTTTTTGTTAACTCTTTGATTTTGGAACTTTAGATCCTTAAAAATCACCTTGATCCTTTGACAGACCAGCAATTAATGGGCATATGTAATCTGCAGCAATCCTCCCAACAGGCTGAAGATGACTTGTCACAAGGAATGGAAGCTTTGCAACAATCTCTAGTAGACACCCTTTCATCTGCATGTTTAGGTCCTACTGGTTCTGGAAATGTTGCTGACTCCATGGGCCATATGGCAATTGCAATGAGCAAGCTTGCCATATTGGAGAACTTCCTTCACCAGGTAAATGGCTTTTACCTAACTATGAACTGAAGTGCTTATTACAAATTTTTACGAGTCTCACTTCAATTTCCAGGCTGACCTTTTGAGACAGCAAACTCCGCAGCAAATGCATCGAATTTTGACCACTCTTCAAGCAGCACGGGCCCTGCTAGCTATTAGTGATTACACTTCTTGGCTCCGGGCACTTAGCTCTTTATGGTCAGCCCGACCTAGGGACTGATTCTTTCATTCCATGAAGCTCTTCTTGATTTCATTAATGCTTTGCACAGAATAGTTCTGCCATTCACCTTCTTTTGAAACTAATTGAAGATGCTGGGATGGCGAAGGTGAAGCATGGTGTGAAATGTCCCGTGATGGCCTCAATTATGTTTGCTGTCGTTGTAATTTTGTTAGCAATCTTAGGGAAATTTCCGCCTATTGGCAGCATGAAGAAGAGAGCTGTATATTAAGTAGGATCTGAGCGTGTGTTGTGATTGTCGGTAGTAATCTCACATTTCAGGCATATCCTCCTAGACCATGATGGTGTTAATCACCTCATCACTGCGATGCCAACGTAGATAGTTCAATGCTTGAAAGCATTGAACAATGTTGATAACACCAACATGTCAGTTCTATGTATTGTCTGTATCCAAAATTATGATAATCTTGCATGTCAGAATGGAAAAGCACTTTTAGATATTTTTTACATGTTGATTCTTGTCGTCGTAGTATGTTGGTGTAATAAAATTTCCTTTGACAAACTCTAATGTAATCAATGATAGAAGTAATCCAGCAAATTATTACAGCATCTTGTTTAAGGAAATAACATAATTGGACCGACATGTACAATTCCCATCCTGTGGAGCCTGCAATGGGTTCTGCTTGTTCATGATTGTTTGGCCTCTGCTGGCCTGCAAAATTTTTCTCTTGTTCATCCTTTCTGCTAGTAACCAGGTAAAGGTTGGTCATTGCCGAACGTTCATTTCGATAGCAAAACTGATACCAGAAGAAAGAAAAGAAATGTACTTGAAATGAAATCTTGCCCTTATAATGTAGAATGTGCATACCTGGCCTATGACGTCTACTGGATTTGTTGATGCGTGGGATAAACACTCCAGTTCCATTGCCATTTCTCCACAGATTTGCAAGCCAAGTTGGTACGGGGTTTGTGTTCTCGCTTTCCCACTAACTGAAATAGCTGCCATATTGTAACGAAGAAGAGATGTTACCGACTGCCGTGTTTGATCCCGGTTTGCTAGCGTTAACGGAGGGAAAAATTTTAGTTTCTTGATAATCTTCGTCATCATCTGCTGTTAAGAGTATAATCTGTCTTCTAATCTCAGCATAGAAAACATCATCTTCTACAATCCCTTCATATTCATAACTGGGGTCTATGTTCATATCCATGGTGGGCTGAGGGCTGCACTGAAATTCCATAAGAAAAACTTGAAACTGGAAAAGCTTGGTTTCCAATTGCCATTGGTTGGACATTTTGTAGGAGAATCTGGACTATAAAGTTCTTTGTTTAGGTCAATGTTTCAGGTCCAAAGAAACCTGATGACTTGAATTGTCTCCAAATGGATCTTGATCTAGGGAATGTCTCTCTTTTTGTACGTTACTTCATGTTTGTCTCTTAATTGCTTTTATTTAATATGAATCTTCAAGGACTGGTTTGTTGAATCAAGTGGCTTAGAATAACTTTGGACTATTGCTTTTCTAGCACTTCACTTTCAAAAGCATTCAATTTTGACTAGGAAAATCACTTTAAGTTCATGGAATCTGATTATCATTTATTGCTTAAATAAGAGGTAAACAATAACTAGGGGTATCATCAAATATCATCTGGTTCACTGCTATAGCAGGTGCCTTATCAGTTTGAGTGGTTATACCATAAAAACATGAACATTTGGGACAAGAAGTTGATCAACCCCTAGCAACTACCCGTTCAATTTGGAATTTTTGGGATTCTCTGGTTTCTTAAAACAAAAAGAAAAACAGAAAAAAAAAAAAAAAATAACTTTAGTTCAAAGAAGGGAAATGGAATAAATTACTAAAATATCTTAAGAATTGGGCTTAACAGAGATCACTTTACTCCCCTTTATTTATTGTGCTGGGCTTGATTGCCCATGTCCAATTCTTTACACCAAGATATATAGGAAATTCCGCTTGTATTTTGATTTTTTTTTCTATTTTTTGAACATAAATGTCAATTACGATGCATGTAAAAGCAAGTCGACGTGATAATACCAATTACCAACAAATAAATAAATAAAGGATGATAAATTTGTGTTGAAGAATTAATGGTATTTGGTGCATATTCCATGTATCATTTTAGGATACAAGCGTGGGAATTGAAATAACTAATAAAAATATCTTTTTCTTTTTTTTTTTTAAGAAATATGGTCAATATCATCTTGAAACCAAATTAGTTCATTCACCCATCTCTTAAATACGGTATTGATCCATTTTTTTTATTTGGACGTCTTACATTTTTTGTCCTCTTTTTCTAAAAAAAATGAGGATAATGTGATACTCTTATGTTTATCCACGTTTTCTTTAACTCGACTCAAAAATAAATTAGGACTTCTTCGTTAAAAAAAAAAAAAAAAAAAAAGGCAAGGTTTACCTTAGCTGCTACGTACCAAAAATGAACCAATATGTAGCTGAAAGGAGAACAAAAATACGTGTTTGGTATAACATAAAAAGCGAACAAAAAATAAAAGCGCACGTGTTGGGTATATCTAATAAAGTGTAAAGGTCTACTTAATTTTATAATAGGATAAATTTGATGAAATAAAATTTACAAAACCAGAAGATTAATTATAAGATGAGAATATTATACAAAAAAAAAAAAAGTGATTTTGAGGCCTATACTAATTATACAAGCAGGTAGCACAGGAATTTTGGGCTAGCGCACCATGCGTGGTACTACAATCGGGGGAGTCACTCCATCCTTATTCCACTTGGCCAAATTGCCCTCCCAACCTTCAAACACACGATCAATTCCAAACTTATCACAATTAGTTAACGTCATGAATTTTGGGATAATAAAAACTTTGGGTTGGGAAATATTCAGGGCAGATGATATGATTTACCTAAGGTTGGATCAGCTCCACGAGTTAAGAGTTCCCTGTGTTCTTGACAAAGAGCGCACCACATGCACAAGAGGTGAGTGCACCAATCGGGTAATGGTGACTCTGGTAATGAGAAGTGTTGCCTCAAGTTTGTACGGTTTTTCGACCCAAATATCCACCCGAAAAGCACAACCCCCGTTGCAAGGTGAAGGAGGCTTGCCGATCTGCACGCTGCTCATGCAACTTATAAGGAAAAATCATTGCAATATTAGATGTTGTATCAACAATTTCAATTCCAACTGTGTTAATTAATTGTAATGGTAACATAAAATTCATAACGTTATGACCTTTGATATATATTGATCTTGAAAATTCCAATAAATTCTCGCAAGAGTTTGCTTACATATTTCTCCTCTATTGATGATCTCAGAATTTCGTCCCATGGTGATGCATGGACAAAAGCAGGTAAATACACCTTCAACAAGACAGATTAAATACAACACTAATGCATTACTGAAAGAAAAAAAAAAAAGGCTACTACAAAGAAAAAGGATAAAGAGATTGAATGGAAGCAATTACAATTAGAAAGATCCTCGTAACACTCGCAAATACTGGTTGTCCACAGTCCTTCTGGCAACGGCTTCATGTATGCTTGATACGAAGAAGTTTCAGGGTCTGGACTGAACACTGGAATTGCAATTGCAGTTCCGGTTTTAGGAAGAAACATTGCAGCTTTCTGCTCGAAAAAACAATAGCATAAATAGGTAAAACAATAATGACTTTCTTCAAAATAAAAACAATTCTCAATGCATTATTATGTCAGTGTTTTCTTCCATTCAAAACTCTGGGTTTTTTGGATCTCAGTTTTGCCTGGTTTTAAAACTGTGATCAATGAGGCTAAATATGGTTTACTCAAGAAATTGAGCAATTGATTCCATTGAAGTAGTGTTTTTCTTCTCACCAACAATATTGATGCGACTGGAGATATATACATTGTAAAGTGTAAACAGAACATGCTTTAACAAAAGGACAAATCTGCAGCCAATTAGTTGAAGAAAAACCCCTTTTACCTCTCTAAATATACATCTAAAAGAAAAAAAAAAATGAGTGCCTTGATCGGTCAAAACAGTTCCATCGGTATATGGTGGCCCTGGATTATAGGAAATTTTGAAGGGACAATTTACCTAGTTTATGGCGTAAATGTGGCCCTTGTAATAAGGAGAGACGCACGTTTAAGTGATAGATTTTACTATAAGCTTTCTAATTATAATAGCAATTGGCTGAATTTTTTGTCTCTTAATTGTTATAAGCTTTGTAATAACGGAAATTCCCCTTAATGTATGCTTCGTTGTCTTGAAGGATAGCTAGAAATTGAATATATATATATATATATATATATATATAGCTGTTTATCTAGATTTTTGTTTGGGTTAGAGGCAGGAATAGGGAGAAATTTATTGTATCAGAGAGACTGATTACAATTGTTACAAACGAGAAAGACCATAGATCAAGCAAAAGGCAATTTAATTACTTACTAAAATAAAAACTAAAGGTTGAAAAATAGTGGAATCTTTGCATTTTGCATATGCAGGTCAATTGGAAATGAAGAGGGTAATTATGATGAACAACAATAATAATATTTATAACTTTTCCTTAATTCACCCTCAAAATCACGGTTTGAGATATTTCAATTTTCATCTCCCTTGTTCCTATCCTCCAATTATGACTGATTGCATGAATTAACTCAAAATCTCACATTCAAATGATGTTTGGAAACTCGATCCTCATACCCTTTTGAGGAAAGCCTCCTCCTTATTAGACTTTGGTGTTGAAATTTAAAGGATTTGTGATTGGGATCATAGATGGCTGAAATCTCAGGGAAGAAGTTTAGGATTATTTTTGCATAACGACGAGACATAGGAACCTAAATTCCATAATTTGGCGGATGCATAAGCTTGAAATGGAAGTGTGATTGATCAGGTTGGGGTATTCAATATGTAGTTAATTTTGGATTAAAGGCTTCTCAAGTGATTTTTAATTAGGCTAGCTATAAGCAATAGAATTAATAAATCTTAGAGATCCTCAGGTCACGCGAGGAATTTGCATCACCCCACATGCAACATTAATTAGTAGATCCATATATAAGTAGCTTCCAAAGTGAAGGGTGGATAACATCCTTGGATGTTTCTATTTTCATCAAGCTATCATTTAAACAATAATAAATGAATTTATATTATTATTTAAACAATAAAAGAGTTAGACAGCAATTTGAAATAGCAAGACCACAAATGAAGTACTATAATCTTTTAAAGCAACTGTGAACAAAAGAAGCAAACGACTAGAATTAACAATACAAGATAAATAAACAAGCATATTTTAAAATTTAACAGCAAAGAAAAAGAATGAAGACGAAGCATCGATCGTTTCTGTAGTTGAAGAGCGACCAAGTCATTAACGGCCCATTACTGATGCAGTTATTGGTGGTTTAAGTCCCTCCCTTTTCCACTTGTCAAAATTAGCTTGCCAACCTTCAGTAATTAATCAATCACCATTTGTTAATTAAGCAAGTAAATTTTATATTTATGACATGCAGGGGCCGATTTTAATGGTCTGGATATTGGATTTCAATTAATGAAGATTCCATTAATTTATCCTTACTCCTCCTAGCTAATTATTGTTAATTCATCAGATTATATGCTCTTCCTTTTACTATTGTTAATCACTAAGCTAAGACACAGGATATATATTAGATAAATTACCTATGGAGGGATCGGCGCCGCGGTTCTTGAGCTCCCTGTACTCTTGAGAGAGAGAGCAAACACAGCAACAGGAATGAACAAACCTATCTCCATAGGCATACGGAGCTTCCGGAAGTGAAAAGAGTTGTCGTAGTTTGGTTCGGTATATACCGCCATAGAGCCATCCGCAATGGATGGAGCCCAGAGCATAGTAGACCAGGCCCGATGGTCCACATGCTGCAATCATGCAACGTAAGAATTTTACCCTAAAATGAGCCCTTTCCCTCCCTTAATTGTCAAGTTTATATAATTTAAATATATATTGTTGGCATCCAATTTCAACTGTTTCTGCAATTAATCATATCATATGGTACGTACTTCAAAAAAAAAAAAAATCATGGCATATGGAGATAAAGTTGACAAGAGTTTACATCTATCCCCTCTATCAATTATCTCAGCTATCCGCCCGAAGTGACGCATGGACAGAAACAGGTGGTTAAGCCTTCAAGAAAATTGACTTCTTTTCATAAGTAAAAAGAAGACAGAAAAATTAATAGCAATAAGAAACAACAAATTTAAATATGAATAAAGTTTGTTTTAAATAAAAGCTTTTCAGCTGCAATTACTATTAGAGGGGTCGTCGCAACAATCATAGAGACCAGTCGTCCATTGGGTTTCAGGAAATTTGGGATCAACTGCTTCGGGATTTTTGGGATGCATAACAAATAAATTGTCCTGGGAGCTTGAAACAAGGGTGTAGATGAAGTACAAGGTAAGGGAGGTTAATGTGTTGGAGCTATGGCATTGTTTCTCACTTCTCACACATTTATACTATATCAGGTTTCCCTCTAGCGCGTTTCAGGTTCGAATTTTCATCGAAACTTCAAATTATTTTATTTTTTCCCAAGTATGATTGACCATTCACCCTGCTATTCCTTTGAACAAGTACAGTTTTCAAATTCTGATAAATAATTAAGGGTTGAAAGTTGATATGGAAACTAAGATGATTCATGAAGTAAAATAAACAGTAGATTCCTGGAAAATTCCTCAACTCAGAACTATGAGTTTCAATCAGAAACGCCGATGGAACCCAATTTCATATCAATAAATATTTGGGGCAATTATTAATGTTGAAAGGGCCAAGGGTTATCCTCCAACGTGGCCTTTGGCAAATTAAAGGCCTTCTTTATAGGTCATTGACTTCAACCATGAAAGAACAGACGATAAATATATTGCAGTCATTCATTGTTTTCGTGTCATTGTAGTACTCAGAGAAACTTCACTCAAGGCACATGATTTTTTTATTATAGTATTATCTTTTTTGACATCTCTGGTAAGGAAATTTGGGTTTTCACTTTCCATTGTTTGAAGGATTCAAGTCTCTCTATTATTGATGTGCAAATTTCAGTCCTTGGCATGGGGGGGGGGGGGGGGGGGGGGCTGGTTTGTTAAAATCATTGATCATTGTCACTCTGGTTCTCAAAAGTTGTGTCTAGCTGGTTCTGTTCCATAATCAACATGACAATATAATGTCAGATAAATTACATTCTGCTATTCACCGATGAATAGATATATACATAGTAGGACCCAGACGTTTGCTCTAAAGCCTAAATTTTTTTGTAGAAGGTTTTTAGAACTTATTGTACAGTACTGTTATTCCATTGACATTTTCAATTAGATGACTCTCAAAACAGTTGAAGTTTTTGCATTAAAAAAGGTAAAAGCATTTATAATATTGGCCCATTTGGTCAGCAATTCCTTGTCTTGTGGCCGATGCACAGCAGAATGAATAATGGATCAATTAACGGAAAAATCGTGCAATACACAACTATGATGGGAAAGGACGAATAACTTGAAAAGCATTTCCTTCATAATTTAAATTGGTTGTTTCGGTGGTCAATTCAAAAGATATTGAATTTGAAATTTTAGATTGATATTATCCATTTATATATGAATGAAAAAATACAAAGCATACTAGTTTTAGCATCAAAATGATCTTTATACCTTTCTCCAGCTTCACTTAAGTGTTAATAAGTTGTCATCAAGAACCTAAGGGAACTAATGGCACTGCTTATAATAACCAGTTGATAAATAGGCTAATTGCATGTTTTTATTATCTTAAATTTCCAAATTTAGCTTCGCTTAAATGAAATGGCCCTCATAAAGTCAATCCGGCCTCTGCTTATCAAATAAAGCCAATTCCTGGCCTATCGCTCAAATCTTTCGATGGTTGGTGCAAAATTATTAGTATAATTAACTTGATTCCCCTAACCAATCATACTAGCTAGCTAATAAGCCAGGGCATTACATTTTGTCATTACAAGTCAACTAAATGAACCAAGTTGATCACAATTTGGTTAAAGCTTTTGGTGCCCTTAGTCAACCAAGCCAGGCACTCAACTGTATCTGTCTACTATAATTTACACTGCAAGAAACAGAAAGAGATGTAAGCCTAAGCCGAACAAAGATGAAAATGGGAAGAATACAGACGGAATACGATTCCCGGGTCCCATATCCTTCTCCTCAGCCTCAGCCCCAGGCTCAAGCGCCTGCCTATTATTCTTACTCGCCACAGCCACAGCCACAGCAAGGCATCATTTATCCGTAGCTTCAAGATAATGTTAATGTTGTACAGGTTCCACCACACCAAATAAGCAGTCCAACGACGATGCTGCCACAAAATCAAGGCGTCACTAGTACTATTCCCTCTAATGGCTCATTTCAAAGCAATGTAGCCACTGGAATGGCCGTGCAGAGTCTGCCAATGCCTTCCACACCAATCAAAGTCGTTAATCCCACTGGCACTTGGACCACCGACCTCTTTGATTGCATGGAAGATCCAACCAACGGTGAGTGTTCCTTCTAATATTCATCCTCATAATTATTACCCGAGGTATCAAACACTTCACCAGGATTCTTATTATCATTATTGATATAAAGGCTTAATTCCTTGTTATGTTGTTGCAGCTCTCATCACAGCATTATTCCCTAGTGTGACTTTTGGGCAGATAGCAGATGTCCTGGACAACGGGCACACAAGTTATAATATTTATATAATAATACCATTAATTAAAAATTTAGTTTATTTTTATTTTTATTTTTTTGAACTCTTTAACCACTTAGGTTGCTCAACTCATTGACTACTAATTTCTGAAATGAATAATTGAAGCTTGTGCCACTAGTGGAATTATTTATGCCTTTGCGCCTTGTTTGGTGTCTGGTCCATATCGTAAAAAGCTGAGACAGCGCTTTGGGTTGGTGGAGGCCCCGGCCTCAGATCGGATCATTCACTTCATGTTTGAGCCATGTGCTCTCCGTCAAGAATATCGAGAACTCAACAACCGCAGAATCAATCCAGCTCTCGGTGATTAAATTGTAAACAAACATGACATGACCTAGATCATACGAGGATACTGTTCATATCCTAATATTTTTGCAGCTACATTTTTGGCTTGTCAATGCAAAACAGATTTTATTTACTTAAACTATGATAATTGATACTTGCATCATGCCTAGCTAGTAATGTTATAGGTTATCATCCAAATTTTGGACTCGGGAGAGTTTATGTCTGGAAATTCTGTTTCTCAAAGTTTATTATATTTTTATATAAGCATATTGCACTAGCTAGTTGTGTAATTTGGCATGCATGACGCCCCCCCCCCCCCCCCCTTTTTTTTTAGCAAACAGGACACCATGGAAATCTGAATAAACAACAAACTTCACCCGTGATGGTGCCGCCAAGGACTCAGATGGTGATCTAAATGGGTTTCGAGTGGATTGGATATATGGAGAGATAATAACTATAATATTTTCTATCTGTATTTTTCTTCTATTTTCTCGAAAAATAAAATTAAAAAGAAAGAAGGAATTAAATTATGTATTAAAAAATGAATGGCCAAAAATAATTGCATGGGATTATTTGGCTGACCAAATTAGTTTTATATTTGAATGGAATATGATTTGCATAATAGATTATTGTACTATCTGTTTCATGCAAAAAATGACCATGCTCAATATCCCTCTTCTTTTTCGTTCTTTTACCGTTCATTATTTTCTTTCCCTATATCAGTAGTTTCAAAAACAAGCTCGTCTTACGTTGGTTTCTGGAAGAGATCTAGTATTCAGACTCAGGACACTCAACTTTTTCCCTGGTTCTAACTCTTCTACACCTTAGAGAAAGTAGTACCGTTTATCTTACATCAAATTATGAGAGAGGTCTTATATTCTGTCAAAAAAATTTTTTGACAGTATATATTTTGTTAAAATTTAAAATTTAATACATGTACTATAATTTATACAAATTTAATTATTATATTATTTTAATTTGATAATTTTAATTCAATTATTAATTTTATTAATTTTTTATCATTAAAAATATTGACATGACCATAAATCTAGTTATTATATTATTTCAATTCAGTAACTTTAATTCAATAATTAATTTTGTTAATTTTTTATCTTTAAAAATATTGATATGATCGTAAACTCAATAATGCAAATGTTGATTTTTCTAACGTAAAAACTTAAATAAATAAAATTATTTATTAAATTATACAATTAATCTCTATACTCACACAATTTAAATTTTTGTGTTTTATAAAAGTCTTATCCTGATACAAATTATATTTTATATCGATCTAATTACTAATAAAAAATACTTTTTTACATTTTTATACAGCAGTACCCTCTATCTTTCTATATTATTATATTTTTTTGGCTAAATTTATGAATCTCACAAACGATCAACCCAGAAAAATGATCACAGATCTTGTGATTAATATTAACCAACATTAACTCAAATTAAAATTAATAAAACATTAATGGTAACCAGCATTCTTTGTATTGCAGGGCATAATGTAGCTTTGCAAAAATTCCTCAGCCAGGGGCAGGGGCATGATTTTCTTTTAAGATCTAAATATAAAGTTTAATCAAATATAAACACAAAAAAATCACATATTTCAAAGATTAATTAGGGATATGTCTCTCAAGCTTGAACACATTTTCAGTAGCCAAATATGGCTTGTCTACATATCAGCCATAGCCCACAAGAAACAACAAAGCTACAGAGCATTACAAATTACAAAAGACAACCAACCTAACGAGCAAAAGCAAAGCATCTCCAGCAAAGTGATCTTTGACGATTGGGAAGGTTTCGGCAGTGAATCCTAGGAACAGGTGTGGCCTAGCTCGAAATCATGACATGATGGATTGACTGAAGTCCTTCATTAGCAAAATAGCGGACATCCACATCTGGGTCCTCACCGAGCTCAACCAAGCAAGGACGTATTGTCTTCTCCACCACCTATTACAACAATAGGTAGGCCAACAAACCAATTACAAAAGAAAGAGATGGAATCAAAAGCAAGGAAAAAGGTGAGAAAGTTTGTTCAAAATTGAAATACTAACAGATTGATCAACGATAGGAACCAGGGACAGCAAAACCTTTGCCACATTAAACTTAATGTTTGGGACCCTGCAGAAAGCAAAATGCATTCGATCAATTAGAGACCACTCTATCTGAATACTACACCATATTGATTTTGCCCGCAAACCTGTCTTTTGATGCATTGATGACGACTGGCAACAGTTTAGAACATGTTATTTCTAAGCCCATAACAGGAGCAAGAAGAGAAATGGCACGAAGAATGGTCATCCGATACAAATAGTTTGAATTGTTAACCATCTCTAATACCTGCTCAGATAACATCCAAACTTCCACGTTAAAGAATACTGTAAACTGAATAAAAAGTAAATTACAGGGTACAATAAATACTTAAAGTAAAGGTCTATGCAGTGGAATTATTAGCAAGCCAAAGAATGAAAAACTATTCAAAAATCCACAGGGAAGTTATCAAATCGTTTCTCACTAAATCTAAGTGCACAAGTGAACAGCTAAAAGCCCAAAAAAAAAAAAATCAGTACGGGCCTAGCAGGGTGTTCCTGAAAAAATCATGTGGCGCTTGAATTGTTATAGCCAATCAGTATTCCCATAAAACCAAGTAAAGCCTGAAGGACTAGCACAGGTATCTGTTTATATTTTGGAAAACAGTCTCCTATTTGCTTTCAGCAGTAAAACTGTAAAAGTAACATGGTTTTTCTTCTTGTAGTTTACTCTTATTTTGGTGAAGATCAATTGTCAAAATTATTGGACAGACCTGTGGAATAATGTGCTGCATTGCCCAATCTGGGCCAAATTCTTCAGCAAGTCGCTTTAAATTGTTAGCAGCTGCATCTCGAATAGAGTAAACCTGTAATAATACCCATACAAAATAGTGCTATTAGAAATCATATCATTGTTTGCAATTATTAAATAAATTTTAAAAATACGATGAGTAAAGCCTTCATATATTTAAAAAAAAAAAAGACTTTTCAGTTTATATGTTAATCTGTCCTCGACAGCAATATAGTCCCTTCCCTTTCTGGCTGCCCTAACACATGTTCCCCTTTCGATATACAAGACTTGAAATGCTGATTACAGCCTTCCACATAATAGTAATAATTACATGCCAAGAGCATTACTTCTGGAAATCATTACAGAAAATATGGAACTAAGCAACATAAGACGTGTATGCATTTCATGCACTTTTCTTGAACTCGTGTATCATCAAACTAGACAGAATTTAGGAAGGAAAGAATATTGCACAGACTATTCAACATTATCAGGAATCCTAGTGTTTAAATATTTGAAAATTTAAAATTTCTTATCCCATATTGAAGCCTTTGATAGTAATATAATCAGAAAATCTCATCTTGGATCTTTAATCAATGCATAATCCCTGAAAACATCAGTCTACTTAGGAGAGAAACATTAGATATACATATAAGTTCTAAGGATATTAATTAAAACATGAAACTAAATGATAAAAAGATAATTAAAACATGAAACTAAATGATAAAAAGATTAAGAGTAGATGAATATGGCAAAATGCATAGTAAACATTTGTATGCAATGAAATAATACATAAAAGCAACAAGTGCATTAAACTTTTAGCTATTACACATGCTACAAAGACAAACCTTATCTTGCAACCATTGCATGCAAAGGGCACCAAGTTTATCATCAAAAAACCCAACACCTAACTGACTTGCCAATAATGGTATATATTCAATTATTGCAAGCCGAACCCTCCAATGTCTATCCTCTGCAAGCTCAACGATGGCTGGCAATAAGGATTGGGACAATAGATCAATTCCAATAACCTGTCAGAAAGAGTTGCTTTAAAAAAACTTGAAAGCTGCTTGAGAGAATGCAGTACATCAATATAATGGTTATAGACTTATAGCAGAAGGCACTAACAGCATCTACACCAAATAACAAGCTGCGATTAAATCTTGAATCTATTCATTATTAATAGCCACTTCTGTGACTATGGTGCCATTCTGCTTCAACTGTTTTTGTATGTCTGATAAAAGTTGCAATCTCAAGCAAAAGCTCAGCACAAAGAAAACAGTGGTGAAGCTTTTAATTGTAACAAACCTGATTCACTTGATCAAGCTTGCTGATTATGTTGAGGCGCACATCAGGAAATTCATCCTTCAAGAGCGAAAGAAATATTGGAAGAAGCTGCTCAATAGTTGCATCCTGTCAGGACCATCAAATGAAGTTCAATAATCCCGTAAAAGCAATTTTAACCAGTATCTTGATACATCGAGCAAGAACATTGAGAAATCAGTTAAAATAACCACAGCTATATTGCTAGCATTTTGTAAAATCAATTATAAAAAAGACCTTATATTAGTTAAAATAACAAATATATATATATATATATATCAGCCCAAACCCACTTTCTAGGAGAAAAATTATATTGCTTGCATTTTGTAAAATGAATCATTTCAAGCTTGTATTCCTTTGTCCTACATTACCAGCAAAAAACAAACCCGGAAATTTTCTTCAGTACATTCTCATCGAAGAATTATTTTATGTCTTTACCTTTCCAAGGACTGGAGCCATTCCCATTATAACTGAAGCCAAAGCTGAGCGGACGTGTTGGGAAGAATCTGATGACAGTTCCTGTAAAAGGTGTTTGCAATGCATTGAAATGAGATGATGGCCAATATCATAACATGGAACAAACAGCAGTTTCTTTTCTGACAGGAAATTTCATAGAGGATTAGTAGCTTCTTATCATAAACATCTGTACCTTAACACAAGGAAGAATTTGTAGGATTGCAAGTTCAGGACTCAAAATTCGACAAAATTTAGTTACTTTTCCAGCAGCTGCTATGCGAACCTCAGCCTCATTATCACGAAGTAACCACACATATGCAGGCACCAAGTCAGTCCTTAAAACATGATCAACATATTAAAAGCCACAAACAAAAACCACCTTCGGTTCATTGACGAATAATCAAGAGAAATAACATAAAGAATCATAATTACTGGCCAAAACACAAAAAGAATCCTCTAAACCATTGATCATGTAACCGTGTAAGATAGTGATACATATGGTTACATCCTTGTTTTGGTACAGGGGCAAAGTCCACCTATATAGCATCAGCATATTTTACCAGAGGCTTTGCAATAAATAAATACCTAGTTGGCTCTGGTCCCACAGCATCACAAAGTTCATATAATTGATTTGCAACCATATAACGCACACGCCAAGATTTATCCTGTTAGATACAAGAAATAGAACAAATATCAAAGAGCATGTAGAATCAACAAAACTATTTTCACACAAAAGATGCCTGAAATCATCATAGAAATTTTTTTTATGTAACAGAATACTCAGGACACTCAATAACATTCCCACTTCCACAGCCTTTTAAATAAAGTTTATTAAACCATGAAAATAGATCAAATCAGCACTATAACTACATGATAAATATTGCTAATGCAACAGAATAAAGTCTTCTTGTCACTACTTGAGGGCTAACTTCTAAACTTCAACCTCCACATTATGTGACAATAGCTTGTTTGCTTTGAATATGATACCCTCCAAAAATTATTAAATTAGTACTATAAAAAGTGCGAATAACTGGACATAAAATTATGCTAATACATGGCAACAATTAACATAAGGTTATAAACAGTCTTAACTTTTCCATAAAACATGCCTCACAAGATTATCAAAAACTAAGAAAAATTTGTAAATTTCACACAAAATTATATGTAAACGGGAGAAATATACATCAGCTACGCATATACCTGGGAGAAATTGACAATTACAGGGAGAATGTGTGCAACACAATCCTGGGGCTTCAACAACTTTCCAAGAGTGGGACATCCCTCAACAACCAATAATCGAACTGAATCTTGATCTGATATAGAAATTTAACAAAGGCTTCTTGAGTGAACTCATAAACAAATGAATGTAAGATATAAAAATAGAAAGAAACCACCTCAGCTACTAACGATTTTACTTCAGATTATGAAAAACCATAATTAAATAGTAAATACTGATAATATTATTTTTATCAGGAACCTATCATTGCAACAATTCCTGCATAATAAATCTAAGAGTCTGTTGATGGGACTTGTCTACCAAGCTATCAGTTGTGCTCACCTATGCCCATATCCCGCTAATCGCTTGCAAGTTGCAGCAGCAATGGGAGGATGACTAACCTTTTCAGTTTACATCTAATCAACATCCTACATTTTTTAGCTCACTTATAATAATTTTGACACAGAATGATAAGAAGCCCTACATAAGATTTTCAACAGCAAATCATGCTAGACTGCCAGCCTATTTCCAATTAAATAAAAAACTAGTCAAGGACGTTCCACAGAGAAAACAAAATCAGTTTTGTTCTCAAGCTAGATGGCTTAAAAACACTTGACAAAATATCTGAGTAGGCAACAAATTCATTTACTTTAAACATGAAGGACGAGGCGAGGGAAGGTTGGGGGACGGCAGTGTACGAGAAGCACATAATGCAATATCCATGTGTGGAAAGATAAATAATGTAACCTAACAAGTACATAGCTGTTCCTTGATCATGCATGTCTTAACCATTCAAATTACCATCTTGTGTAAGATCCTCAAATATTTGCATGATGTCAGCCTTCAAATAAGCAGATTCAACTGTCGCAGCAAATTTCCCCAGATTTGACGCGGCAGACCTTCTTACCATGGGCATGTCTTCTTGACACAATTGACTGTATATTGACCGTAATTCTGTTTTCAGCATCTCGGAGGCACTTGGATAAGCAATATGAAACAACCCACAGGCTGAAACTCGAGCAGTAAACCATTCACCAGCAGCCAGCCTCTGAAGATTTAAAAATAAATAAATAAAACATAAAAAAATATGAAACAGAAAAGATGGCTGCAAGTAGTGTGTATAAGAACTAGCATGGAACATGGAAATAGATGCAAATTACACGTAATTCATGTAGGATTTAATACACAAGTGATGTCAAAACATGCAAGTTACTCCAGTCTATCAGATGAGACAGTTTTCTTATTTTCTTTTCACAGATATCCACTCTCTTTTCCTTTCTCTACATGTGTGCTTGCAAACATGCTTGAGAGAGGGGGAGGGAAGGGAATAGAAGGAAACTTCTAACAAGAAGAATAGCCATATTAGCTGCAGATAGGTGTTTGAGAACAAAAGTGTTGAATATTAACAGTTTCAGAGATTTGATCTTCTAAGCATGCTTGGTTATGCAAATAAATTATAACCGGAAAGCATACTTAAATAACAAAATGAAAGTTTTTAGTATGGAAGAGCCTTCTTCTTACTTATGCATTTAGTCAGAACCATTTTAAAAACTTTTAATCACAAACCATGTTACCATACTATTATTTACAATTTCTTTCTATTATCATTTCATCGTCCATCATATTCACAATGTTTCACAAATAGTTGAAATTGAAGGGCTTTTAAAAATTCATTCTCTTCAGTTACTAATGCTTGCTTAACTAAATTCAGCACCTTAATTTCAGACCTATACCAAATAATTTTTAGCATTTCAATTAAGCACCTAATCATCCTTAAAACTTATTTCAGTAATAAAATTTAGAGTTTTGTCATAAACAGCAGCTAAATCTCACTTACCACTAGAAGAAATAGCATTAAAATAAGTAATCACAAATTAAGAAACAAAAAGTCTAACCTTAACTAGAGGAATAAACCAGTCAACTAAGTCATTCTCTCTCATCTGAGATCCAATTCTGCATAATGACTCGACAGCTTTGTCCCTTACACAGGTTTCTTCAACAGTGCAAAGGGTTTCCAAAGGTGGCAGCAAAACATGGGCATGCTCAACACCCCCAACATAGGGAATAAACACTCCCAGTTCCTCAGCCATTGCAAGAAGCACCTCATCATCATCGTCATTGTTTTCACTCAAAAATGGAATTAATTCCTTCCTGGTCCGGTCTTCCCCAAGAGCACGTGCAATTGTTGAAAGCCTACGGATCGAGTTCAAACGAAGTTGGATGTCATCATTTTTTAGCTCATCTATGAGGACAGCTATCGGATACAATGGTTCTTCAACCATAGACATCGTATTCCAATGTCCGGCAGCTTCAATTGACTAGTGATATCTGTATAATTACAGAGAAAAAAAAAAAACATAACCAATAATTAATTACGAATCATTTCGAATTTATAGCAGTCGTCTTCATCTTTGATCCTTAAATCTCATAATTCCGAACTGCTTCTAGTGATATTCATCGTATTCATTGAACTTTAGCAATTAAAACAGAAAAAAGTTGATAAGTAGATCAATAACAGCATGATTCCAAACAAACCGAGAAATCAAATCCAGAATGTGAATTTTTAACGAAAAATAAAAAAATGGGATAAAAGCTGAAAACACCGATTCCCGAGATAGAAACCCACAGCATTGTTTGGATGAGCAGGAAAAGAAAAAAAATGAAACTCTAAATTAATAACTAAATAATCACTATTTATTTATAAAAAAAGTTGAAAATTTTAGAGAAGGGCTATAAAACTGAGAAGTGGGGGAGGTTAAGCTGACCGATCTGGAGCCTGGAGGCCTTCCCGCCGGCTGTCTCTCAGAAAAGGAAAGCTGGAGAAATGGAATATTTTGGATTTACTGTGATTTTTTTTTTTTTTAAATTTTGAAATGGAATACTTGTATTTTAAGGATCGAAGGCCCATCAGTTTCATGGTTGATGGGCTACGCTTTATAAACAAAACGTCTAAGACCCAAATAAAGAGGATTATGGGCCGATTCGAAGCCTCTTAGTTAAGGGTTTGATTCAGTTACGTTAATTAATGAAAGGTTTTCAATGCTGGAGTACAAAGTCCAACTGAATAAACCCAATCTTTTGCAAAGAAATTTTCTATAAGCCCAAGCCTGCTTAAAAGCCCATAATCACCTCCTACCAAAGCCCCACTGCCACTGCCCCCTCTCCCTTGTCCAGATCAATTGGGAGACAGACGAGCACGATGGAGTAACTTGAAGAAATCAACTCTTTCTCTCTCTCTGCAATAGAAAATGTTATCCATGGCAGCCCAATCTAGTGTAAATATTACTTTCACTTGGCGTTCTTTTCATCAGAAACCCACCTTGAAATCCTTCAACACCGCCATTTTCTTTGAGACAAAGCCCAGTTTGGGAAAAGGAACAACACCCACTTCAAAAATTAAAACTGAAAGACTTAACTTCTTCAGCAGTCCCGGAAGCAGTCACAGCTGCAACATCCACAGAAACTGAGACTCCATCCATCACAATTGCAATTTCTCAAGAAACTGAGGTTCAACCACCCCTCCCCCTCCGTCTCTTAATTAGTATAGCTAGATAGATGCTTCCTTGAATTTATGAGTTGCTCGATTTAACGAGTTGTTGTCGATTTTGCAGAAGGCTGAGGTGTTGGTGAAGCAAGCTGAGAAGCCAAAACTGGTCTTGAAATTCATATGGATGGAAAAGAACATCGGGCTTGGTCTTGATCAAGTGATACCTGGTCACGGCACTGTTCCTCTAAGTCCGTACTTCTTTTGGCCAAGGAAAGATGCATGGGAAGAGCTCAAGGCCACTCTAGAAAGTAAGTCATGGATTTCTCAGAAGAAAATGATCATCCTTCTGAATCAGGCCACTGATATTATCAATCTATGGCAGCAAAGTGGTGGCAACCTTTCCTAGATGTGCAGTGCAGGATAAACTCTGGCTTTTCTTCTTCTTACCCCCTAGCCTACTTGTTAATCTCAGTTGTTGGATTTTGATTTATAATTAAGATCCCATTATGCCTACGTTGGTTACATTTGTATTATCTTTGTAGAATAGCCTTGGTTAATTAATTGAGATTTGAGAATGCCTGGTTTGGAATCTCTTAGCTTAGAACAAGCTATTTGGTGATGATTAGTTTTTTTTTAATAGGAAATTAAACAGTGCTAAATCATTGAAAATCTCACTAGCTTAATATGATTGAGGAGGCTTGGTTTAAATTCTTCTCACTGTTTAATGGAAAATTCTCCGAATGCTTTGAATTTATATTTTTGTTACAAGCCGAAAATGACTGTTAGACCATTCCAACATCTGACACATACTATTAGACTAATAAGCCTTCATGGAAAAGAATAAAATTCATTCACCTAAACAAGAAATTGATGCTTACCGGGTGAAGAATTGGGGCATCAATCAGACGAATGCCAACTACTCTGCCAAAAAAAAAAGGGTTCATTGACTGTATAGATCGTCATCAAGGAAAGAACAAGATTAAAAAAAAAAAAAAAAAGGAAAAACGTTTGTCTAACTCCAAAATACAAATAAGAGAAAAAAATTAACAAATTTGTCAACTGCAAAACCAAAGAGTGTAATATAGAATCCATGGAGCTGTTGAATGTACCAGCATTTGTCAAAGGCAAAATGAAGAAGAAATTGAGAGAAAGACTGATGAGATCTTTTATTGTCTCCGAACTAATGGCCCATACGGGATCTCCCTGGTTAACTCAAAAAGAAATTAACCGTTAATCTTTTTGTTTGTGAGAAATGACGAGAAAGTGGGAAAAAAGAAGGGAAGCTTACAGAAGCATAACGGAGCAGAAAGAGCCACAAGATGTAAACAGCCTCAGTGGTCCACAGAGCCAACTGAATGACTCGTCGCACGCTACCATCCTCGCCTTCTTCCGAGGTGGAACTGATGGCGATGGGCTTGCGGCGACGTACGGCATACAAGGGAGAATGAATGGACGGATGTTGGAGTTTTGAGGATAGAATGGAGATTCGGGCCATGTTTTTCCTGGATGTTTGCAAGGATAGAGGTGGCAATGAGAGAGAGAGAGAGAGTGAAGGAGGGTTGGAATTGAAGCGTGTTGGTCTTGGATGAACCGGCCATGGAGGAACTGGGAATTAAATATGATGAAGATGTTGGTGTGAATTTACAATCATACACTGAGCTCCTTCAGCATGGGAAGAAGCGGGCCAGAGGCCGGTAACTTAATGTGAAGCGTTACAGACTTGGTCATCAACTCAGACATAGATTTTGGTGTTTCTCTGGAGATAAATCTGTTCCAGATATTTGTAGATTCTTCATCCTTGTTAGATCTATATCTTTACTTAACAGAGTTTTTTTTTTTTCATGAGATTACTTGCGAACGTTTTATTGTTGATGTAACTGGTGGATGATGCTAGTTTTGATAGAATTACCTTTGAATGATATATTACAAAGCATTGTACTATGAGCGGCGCATTAGATCAGAGTTTGTAATCATGAAAGGCTTAGATATAGATCAAATCGAAGTGTCAAGCTCTAGGCTCAGTACACATCCATTATCTATTTGTGAAGAAAAACAAACTTCATTGAACTACTCTGTCTGCCCGTGTGTGCATATCCATCCCCCTGAATACGTGAATGATGTTTTTAACTTATATTATAGACAAATGAATAAATTTTCCTTTGTGCCTTTGTCTGCACTCCTCATTTTGGTTCCCAGGTTTCTCTTGGCTACAGTCGTAAGCTTGTGCAAGTTGTGTTGCAGTCTGGTTTTGCGGAGGATACTCCATATTTAGATTGTAGGTGTAGTACTATCGTTAGGAAATTGAGTAGTTTTCCAAAATCATTCGCTTCACAAAATCTTTCAAAAATCATTCCAAAAAAATTCCATTTGAGTCTACATCTTATGAAAATTAACAAAATAAAAATCAAAGAACAAAATCCAACTTATAGACTCAGCCAAAGCTGTGATGCAACTCGCCAAACTGGAAAAAATTCAACACATAAAAAAACAAAAAATCAATATACTCATGGTCCTCAGTACCCCCGCACTTGTCTAGTCCTCACAGAAATTGGCCCCTTATTTACAGTAAAATGCCGTTTAGCTTTCATCCCTGAGTTTTCAGCAGCATGCTCTGTGGGGTTTTCAGGTCCAGTCTCCACCTTCAAGCCAGCTTGAAGGCCTGAAGGGATTTGCTTATTCAATGAGGGCTGAAACATCATTCCAGTTTTTTCTGAGCCCTCATCATCCTTATCCGTATCTAGGACGTTGTCTTTAAGCTTCCTTGTCTTCATATCAAAACTCCAACCAGGGGAATCATAGTTCTCATCGTCACTCTCATGAATAACTACTTCCTTTTCCAATAGCTTGACTGGGTCCACTTCATCCAAGGAAATTGTCCTCAAGTCCAGGTTTCCTTCTGTTGAACCTTCACTTGAAGAAGGACTAGACGTCTTGATTTCTGGTGTCTTCTTGCTCTGACTCAACTCCTCTGCTTGACTACCCTGATGAGTTTCCTTACCTTTAAAAGTTGATTCATTTCCGTCATACACTATTTTCCGTTGACTACTGGGACTATTATGATCATCAGGATCATGGGAATCAGACCGAGAGAGTTCCACAGCTGCTCTTGCCGCTGCTGCCGCATAAGCAGCTGACTCAAAGGCTGCTTGAGCTGCATCAGCTACATCCCTGAAATTTTTCCTTGCTTTCGTTGAATCAGAGAACTCACCATTGTCTCCTGCATCGTCACTTGCCTTAGCTGATGTGTCTAGCTTGGGCAGGTTTTGCTTCTTGCTTACATCCGAATTTTCCTGTATTGGTAACATAATCGGCATGCCATGAGTTATTTCTGAATTTTCAGCACATAATAATGAACTATTTTTTCAAAGCCTGTTGATCCTTATAGTAGATTGCATACCTGACTGGAAACAGAGGTTTCCTCGAGTTGTAGAGCAATGCCATTCTCACCAGCAATCTCCTTGAGCACATTCCTTCTGCTCTGCAAGTCTGGTTGTCTGGTGGACAGCTTTTGTATAATCTGCACGACCCAAAGATTATAGCATACTGCAGAACTCAACTAGACATAATGCAAAAGAATAGCTAGGAATTTCATTACAATGCTCATTTATGTACAAATATGCACATTTCTCAATTCGACCATCCTTATTATGTGAAATTTTCATAATGAAAATAATCATTTCAGTGTCTTTGTTAGCAACAGAAGTGGTTACTCCACTTTTCTGGTTCATTTGACTAGCCTAGTTCTTCTAGACTCTCAGTGTCACCAATACTCTATCTTGCCCCTGAATGTAATGATATCAAAACTAAAATTTGAAAAAAATATTTTCTACCATCTCTTTAGATTTCTTTCACATATCTTATACTACTTTTAATAGTAAAGGGACTTCACTCCAAGTTCAAAATCAAATAATAAGTTCTGGTATTAGTTTCTGACCCCAAAACTCTTTCAGTTTTTATCAGAGGTGACCATCGGATTCTTTTGCCTTTTCTTTGGAGGGGGGTGTTGGTTGGAGATTGACTAAGCATATAACTTTTATTCCTATTCAATGTAAACAGATCCAAATCAAGATTTACCTTATTGTTCACTCCACAATTGTTGCGCAACTCAATGGCACGAGCAGCGAATTCTTTGCCGTAGTGAGAAATGAAAACTGCACGAATCTCTTGAAGCTCAGGAAAATCTCCACACCTTGAAGATGCAAAGAGCAAGCCAGATATTGCCTCCTTGAGCTCGTCGGGGCATTCTCTGATAACAAAACAGAACTCAGGTTTATCAAGAAAATGAAAACCAGTGTATAAAAACTCTGACAAGAACAAAAGGAAATAATCGAAGAAACTAACCTCTCTTGCTCAATGAGATGAACTCTTTCAATAACGAGATTACAATACCCTTCCAGAATAACGAACACGTCCAACATATTTTGCTCCTTGATTGCCTGCTCAACCTGTTCAAAGAAGCCCAAGTTTAGCTCTAAACTAGAAAGTAAACCAACAGAAAAAAAAAATACAAAGAAATATTTCCAAAACGAAAGATTAAATCATACTCTAAGAAGAGCCCGATCATGGTGGCCAAGTTCAAGGAGCTGCACAACATCAGAGCGAGCCTGGTTGCAGCGAACCTGACGCTGGTTCTTGAAGACAGAAAGACGAGAAATGGCAAGACTGATAAGTGATTTGAACTTGGCGGGCTTGAAGCCTCTTCCAAGCAGGGCATCAAGTTTCCTCCCCATGAGCCTGCTCTGTCAACTGTTTGATGAACAAACCTTTGAATTGAACGAGCTCTCTCACAAACACGAGAGGAGGTTTTTAACAGACACAAAAGAACAAACAAGGCAACGCTTGTTTGTGCCTTTAAGTGCTGACGAGAGAGACAGAAGGAGACAGCGTAGTCTTTATGGGCTTGTTTACGTGTTTCGTAGGATTTCTTAGGAGCTAAGTCTTTGTTAAAGAAGAGAAGAAGCAGTCAAGGTCCAGCAGAGAGCAGGGTGTTCATTGCCTAATCGGAAAACCAAATAATAAAAAGAGGATTAGAACGCGGTTGGGCCGTCAATGTCGAGCAAGTGAGCGCTAGAAATTGACTTAGACAAGACGCCCTTCAGGCACGTGAAGAACAATCGGCATTGACCGGAAAGGGCAAAAAGTAATTAAAAATACAAAAAGAGAAATTAAATTTAGAAACGGAATATTCTAGGGAAAAAAAGTATTATTAGAAGGATTTCTTTTTCCTTATTGAAAAAAAAAAGTATCATGCACATAAACATATTTACTAAGGTATTATTTGTAATATTCATGAATTGAATACAATAATTGAAAATCAATAATTTAAATGTATTAGATGAAAATATTATTCAATATAATAAATTAATATTATCAAGTAGTAAAAAAAACCTAATTACCCTACGTAAGTTATTATCAAATAGTATAGGCTCAAATCCCAAAATTCCCAGTTCAATCAAAATCAAAACATAATGTAGTAGGTGCATAAAATTGTCACCTATTATTGTGAAATTTTAAACTGGAGCGTGCTTGACACAAGGGCAAGCGAGCGTGGGCTATCCAGAAAAGAGAAGTTTGTAGAAAAAGGAACATGGGCTCCGTCAGAGTCTTGTTCTGAATATATCAAGAACAAGGCCCTTGGACCATTTCCAGACTCAAAGAACCATTTGCGTTTTGCAACTGTGTAGAAAATGTGCAAATGAACCCAGAACCATCTAATGACACATAAATATTGCAGATTCTCCAAAATTTTGAGTAATGACTGAACCAAGATTAATTAAGCGGGGGTAAATATAATATTAATAAAAATATCATGAAAATTGTATTTGCCACAAATTTTTAAGTCCAATCAAAAGAAGAGGGCAAACTCAAATTCTACTCTGGGCCCAAAAGAGAACTGGGCTTCCTTTTGTTTGGATGAGGTGAGGCATTTGATTTTTCTTTTGGGCCATTGGTGAGGCATTTGTCCAAACACCTGTACTAGGCTTGTTTTCTCTATGGGCCGAACAATGGGTAATTGTTAATGTTAACCAGAGCATCAGGCCTAACCGAGCCAATTATTAGTGTTGTTGCCAATAGGCACATCAGAAAGAAAGGGTATCTGTCACCGGAAACAAGAAAAGAATCAAATTATATACTATATATATATATATATATGCTACAAATTGCGATTTCCCATTTTGTTATTAATCATTGTTAAAACTTAAAAAATAACTATTACGTATGTATTAATGATTGAATTGGTTTTGAGGGAATTCAAGGGATGGAGGACCAAGAATAGTTCTACTTTTGGCTCTCTCATGGGAATTAATTCCTTCGTTTGATTTTGGAATCTGATTCTGCCTACACCAGCAAAAAGATCTTACTTTGGTTAATTAACCACGACTTAAATATCTCAAGTAATTAAGAGAAGCATTCTTTCATGTAAATGCTGTATAGGATTATATGAAGTATCCTTTCTTATTTACAAAGGTTTCCGTTTTGCATTAAATTTAACCATCAGTTACCTTGGATTTTAGTTTGCCTGAAACACAAGAAAAATAATAGTAGAGAAAGTTATACCTGAAATAGGTTTCTTCAATACTTCACTCAGCAATGAAACTGGACATAGTACAGCCAAGATCAACAATTTGGCTGATCACTTCAAACACATCCGACCATTCATTTTGTTTCCTTGTATAAGTGAGACATGACCAAACTGATAACACAACTGCCTTTATTGTTTATTTTCTTCCTACAACAAGAAAGTATATTCGAGGCATTCAGGCTACAACAAACATATCTTTAAATGAAGAATTCTGCAACATGTTGGATGTTTCTTGATTGGGATTCAAATTCGGGAAGAGCGAAAGATCCCCTTGATCATGGCCATTGTGCTGACAGGATTCCTGTAACTAACAGGAACTTGTCTTGAAGGTAACTTAACAATACCAGGGTTTTTACCGGTGAGTGTTACCTTCTTCTCTAACACATTTATCAAAACAGAGTCTGTCTCTGCCAATAAAAGATAAAATTAGGATTCAGGTAATAAAAAGAAGGAATACAATCTTGGTTTCTGGCAAAATCTCAAGCAACTGTTCTGTGATTTATAAATTTTCATTGTCATCAAGTTTTTTGGCATTTTGTTTGGATTTCCCTTTGTTGGATTACCAAGTGGAGAGCCGTCATTACCTCAGAAGGCAGGAAAAAGGTCTCAACCATATTTTGAAATGACACTTTTATAAACTTACCAATTTCCAGACATTATGGACTCGTTTCTGTAGAAATTTTGTTAAAACACTGAAGAAAAGACCAAGTCATTCTTAAAGAAAGTTCTCCCAAGATCAACTAAACAGTTATTATCATGCATATTATATTACTCTTCAGGGATGATTTAATACTACGGAACTAGATATTCGATGCAGTTGAGTACTTCGCCATTGTTTAAACTCCCCACCCCCCCAAAAAAAAAATCATCTAAAGTACCTCGAAATTGCATTTGATAAAGCTGAAAATTAATCCTAGCCACAATTACGATAATGAAGAAAACGTACCATTCATTCTTGACATTATGTCTGTTATTCTCCTTTGACACTCTGCACATCGAATATCTGCTGAGAGAACAATTTCGTGGACCTGATCTCAGCAAACAGAAAACAAAACACCAAAATTTATTAGAAACTTCACTCAACAGGCGACAGAATGAGAATACACAAAAGGGGGGAGAGAGAGAGTACAAACAAGAGGCATCGATGAGGATTCAACAGAGGCAAGACTAGTTCCAGGAAGCAACAAGCTCTTTGGCTTGTTGGATTCAACTACTGTGACCTCCTTCTTAGCCTGACCATGGAGAACCATAGCTTTTTCTTTATCCGTTATCTAAACATTGAAAAGTCTTCATACAGAAGAAGGTACGAGGGTTCAATCTAAAACTAAAAGAAGGAAGTGAAAAAGGAGTGGAAAATGATCTAGGAACAGCACCTCCTGCCTCCTTTTGTAACTGAGCTACTGATAGAGCAATACCATCTTCTGGGATGCTTCAGTTTGGAGGGTGAAGAAAGAGCATCAGAAGCTGGTAACTTTTTTATGCTTGGTTGAAAAAGATGCTTCATTCATAGAGAGTGCCCACATCCTACTTTTTCCTGAAATTATCTGGTCCATAATAGTTCTTTGAAGAGGTTGCTTATGAGACCAAACTCACTTTTAGCTCATTTAATCCATCATGTCATAGCTATATGAGGTACGACCTCCCCATGAAGAAACTACAAGGAAGAGATTTGCTTTAGAATAAGACAAGGTCTCTTCAAAATCTTAGGAGAATCTTAGCAAAATGTATTTTTCTTCCATAAGTTGAGCTGAATACCAGTTATCAAACCTCGCTTTTAAGTTTGAAGACCCGCAAAACAGTAATGTAAAATAAGAACGAGACCTAAGAAAAATGGCTGGGTCTTCTTTCCAAGTTCTCCCTCGGCAGTTTCCAATTGTAATACCATTCTTATAGTTGCCCAATTTCTAGGTTATGTCCGGAAATATAGTAATAATTAACACATACTATACTTCTTTTTAAAAGATTAATATTTTAGTTTCTAATTATTAACAAAATAGATCGGACCCAAACCATGATTTGCTTAACGGTGTTGTTGGGTATCCTCCTTACAGAAGTGGGAAGTGATACTCTCTCTCTCTCTCTCTCTCTCTCTCGTACTGAACAGGGGATCAGAAACAATTTGAACAGTCATGGGATTGGCAGCTAAAAGCCAAATTCCAACTAACCAAACACTCACTTGCCGCACAAGGAATCAAAACTGCCAAAACACATCACATGTGGGTCGACTGTGTGCATCCATGCAATGCTCTTTAGCAACTTCAGACTAGTCCATAAAGCTCGCGGTTGAAACATGCAACAAAACAAATAAAAATGGAAAATTTTATTTCCAAACAACTGAGATACAGATTACATTAAACCATCCTAAATAAATCAAGCCTAAGTTAAGAGATTTTAGAGGTTCTCGTACTGCATCCAAAATTGTGGCCTCAAATTTGCAAGACTATAAGTTAGAGCCCCATAGGCTGAAGTTATATACAAGTACACGCAGTAGGAGATGGATGCCATGGAACATTTCCAATAAAACATTGCATCCAGTAGGTGCACTATATCAAGGAAAAGCAAAATCCAATTGAAAAATAGACAGCAACACCTCCACATCTCCAATGAGAAAAGTCAATCACCTAGTCGTAACCAAGCTTGCTAGACGCGGCGCTACAGAAGAATTGAATAATGGATCACCCATGTACTTGCAGCTATCATTCTCAACTTTTAAGGATGCAGGGATAAAAAATCTTTCACAAGTAACAGAGCCTGCAATGCTTTTGATGAGATTTCGATTGCATTTCAGCTTCTGTACACAGGTCGCAGTCCCACGTGTTCTCTTCCTAGAGGACTTCCACTTCAACTGAGAAAGTGAATCATCCTTTGAAAGATCTGAAACAAGACTCACATCTTTTGCGCTGTCATTTCCTCGTACAACGGCTGAATCATTACAAACAGTGGCATCGTCACCACACTGTCCACCGTCCCAAATGGCGGTTTTGACCAAATTGCAATCACTGGATTTGCCTGCGTCTTGTTTTCTGCCCCAGAGTATGGAACTCACAAGATCATGCCTCTCCTTTATATTTATCCACCGGTTTCCAAGGCATTCCTGAGAATGTCTTACATCACCTCTGTCAAAGACTGATTCCTGCTTTTCTCCTGCAAATAATATAAAAAGGCAGAGATGGAGAAAAACAAAAGAAACAATAAAATATACTTGACGGTTCATGACCATGAAAACAATCAAACATTTTCATTCAGATTTAAAGTATTTCACAAACCTGGGAAATAAACATGGAATTTATCTTCAGAATCCTTCTTAACAACGATGCCTTCCCACCACCCATCATGCCACCAGACATCAACAACAGAACCAACACCAATACATGAAGCACTGCCTTCAGGGTATTGTGGAGATGGTCGAATAGTCGTCCTTCCACAAAGTCTGATACCCACTTGATCAGGAACAGCAACCCTAGATGCCAAAATCCATTCCTACAACATAAAACCATGAAACGTTTAGCAACTTCAGAAGAAAGGGTCAATATCATTATTAATAAATCCTTTCAGTTCTGTAAGTTAAAAACAACAAAAACATTACCTCTAATTTCTTAGCTTCATCAGCAGCATCCTGAACGTCTTGGTATTGCACCTTCACCTTATCTTTGTGCTTCTTAATTATCCGAGCTCTAAACCAACACCCTCTCAAACCACTATCTTGAGCTAGTACTTCAACCTGAGAACCTATTTGTAAATCCCGAGAAGAGTATTGCTTAGCCTCATCAGTGGACAGGAAAGCAGAACTACCTCCACTGAAACTGAATGATTTAGTCCCATCTTTGCTGTTCCGAAAATCCTGCACATCTGCACATGATGCATCCATTGAGTCTCTACTGCCACTGTAATGCATGTACATATCATCATCTTTTGATTGACAATATTTCTTTCTAGGCCTGATCCCAACACCATCATCAACATTCCAATCTGTACTATCGTCATTAGCACATTGCTGACGACTCACACAATCATCTGAGGGAGAAAGACTATACATATATCTAAGTATAACTTGTTTCCAATAACCCTTAACTTGAGTCACATCAAAAGGCTTGACATCATCATTATCAAACCGCTTGCAGCATACAAATGGCTCCAGCCGAGTATGCTTTGCCTCGTTCAAAAATTTCTTGAAATGCGCAGGACTAAGTACAGTAGCCAATCCATCTATGCATTCAATACTAAGATCTTGAAAACAAAGAGAAAAGAATATCTCTCTGCAATTATAATTGTGAGGCAAAACAATACCAACCTCATCATTTTTGTGAAACCATTGTACCACAACCATCTTGTTGCCTCTAGAGTCCTCGTACATATCTTCCACATAGGCAACAAGTCGTTTTTCCTCCTCAGTTAATACATAAACAAAGTCATGAATCTGAGAAGATTTCAGGAGAATGGGACACGAGACCAACAAAATGAGTTAGATAATGGAGTCATAAAATACACAAACTTAAATGGCAAAGCACAAAGGGAAGGGGAGGATCGATAAAAAAGACAATGACACTCACAGAAATTATTACACTATTCCTACAGAAGGACTGATAATGTTTCCTTTTTTTCCTGCATGTCCATGAAGAACCTAACCATAAAAATTCTTTTGTATGTTGGCCCAGCTTCTGTGATTGAAATTTCTGTAAGAGGGGAAAACATTCTTAAACAAATTTTTAATTGACCAAAGAAATCCACAAACTCGTAATACCATTCATACCTTGAGGGCTTCAAAATCCAAAATTTTCACATCCTTGGCATTACAAAAGCCATCAACTGAGCAGGACAGCTCACGAGAAGATGAATCTGTACATTTTTAAACCGCAATTAGGAAAAGAAATAAACAAATATTCAATTCCATAAGATGCCCCACAAGAGAAGAAAAACCACAAGAAGACATGATGACAAAGACACTGATACTCGGGAAAAGACAAAAACAAAATCGATGCAAACAATAATAAGAGGTTATATACATATATGTCTGTCTTAACAGGACTTCTTTTTAACATTAAATAGGAATTAACAGCTTATTGAAACATGCTTCAACGAAGATGAAACTTTGTTTATTGAAAGCATATATGTTTGGTCATGAAAGATGTTGACCTAGATATTTGAGGGCGTAAGGATCGTGATGCTCTCAATCGGCTCTTAAAAATTGAATTAGCAATCCTGCAGCCCAGATTATAGTCAGTTAACATTTACCATGGTTAATGGAAACAAATGGAACAACCCACGCCAATCAAACAAATATACGCCCAGCCAAAACCCAAAAAAAAAAAAAAGGGAGATGAAAAGCCTCAGGTTACTTGAGAACCAAAAAACAAAAAAAGTTTAGGTTTAAAGGTGAAGACAATCAATCAAGATAAAGGGAAAATAATTTTAAAATAGAAAATTTACATATCTTCCAGTTGATAAATGTATAGAAAAATGAGAAGCCAATAAAATATCTCAAGCGGGCAACTTCAATTCTTCTGGCGAAAAAAACCAAACACATTTGAAAATAAAATAAAAAATATTATTCAGCCAAAAGCAGAAAAAAAAATACAGAAGCTTGATAATATTCATCGGCCTGTATATCAAAAATTGAAATTGAATTAAGTAAAGGAGTTCATAAATCTCATAAAGGAAAACTGCTTGTTTGAGAGAGAAAGAAGAAGCACTGATAAGATCAAATCCTATCAATATTCACCATAAACGCTCAGATCTAGCAAAAATCCTAAGAAAATTGAGGCCAGTGCAAACCCTAACAAACCCCTACATCTCCAAAACCTCAAAATTCAACATAGGACGAAAAGAAAGAGAATGATGTTAGCAGTAATTACCTGAAACAACAGAATTAAGCCAACAGACGACCTCCCTGCGAGATTCGAGTTTGTAAAACGACGTCGGAGAGAAGAAATAGGAGCGGTTCTTAATAGCGAAATGATAGGACATGTGCCTCAAGCTTTTCTCTTTCCCAATCACAGCCAGATCCAATACCCCATCTCTTCTCTTCAAATAGTAATGAACCTCTCTCCTTCCTCTATCGGTTGAAACATTTACCTGCTCCCAGCTCACATACCCCACCGTGCTCGACGACGGCGACTCAGCCGGCAATCTCTCCATCACCACTTCAAAGAGAAGAAGAAGAAAGAAGAACAAAGAAAAAAAAACAAAAAACAAAAGAGAAGATGAGAATTTTAGTTATGGAGAAGAAAAGATGGTTCAAAAATCGTATGAAATTTTTGTGCGCGAGAGGGAAATTGAAAATTTATAGGAGGGAGGATGTTTGGAGATTGGGAATCAACGGTAAGGATTGCGCACACTAGCTTGACACCGAAAATCAATAGGAAATTTCCGGGGTTGCCAGGAGTGGAAATTTGGTTCCTAAAATACCCTTGGTGAGATTGGATTTACTTACCATTGTTATTTCCTTTTTTTTTTGCATTTATCCATCAGATGTCGTATTGGAGGGCTTTGCCAACGGACAAGACACAAGTTGATAAAAGAAGAGAAGTGGAGCCCGTAATTGGCGGTCTACAAAAGATAGACCCGCTCAGTTTGACTGCCAGCTGTATTTTCCATTTTCAGTTATTATATATTGTCTAACAAATTTATTATTTTAAAATTTATTTTTTTATATATTTTTATTTCAATTTCTCTAATGGAAAAATAAATTTCAAAGTTTTTTAAGAATATAACAAGTTTCAAAGTTTAAAAATAGCATTCCTAAATACCAACTACTAATATTTTTGTACTTTGATTAGTCAAAAGTCAAAATTTTATAGAACTAGGCTACTACCACTTGTCTTGTATTTTAATCCAAAAAGCAAACCAAATCTATTTAAGCTTAAAATTAGAAAAAATAAAAAATAAAAAGGAAATTATCAAATTAACAGATTGAATTCAAAAATTGCAAAATAAAGGAAGTTACTTATCCCTAGTTCTAGGCCAAGTATTTTGCTTTTCTTCATTATTTTTTTCTTTGAACTAATGAAAATTTTATTATTATTCTAAAGATTTTTATTCTAGTGAAAATTTATGATATATAAAGAGGTTATTGTTCTATATATTGTTTACGAACATTTTAAATTTTATAAGAAATAATTTTTTAATGATTTAAAATATATAATCTCTTTAAAATTTTATTTTCTTTATTATAAGTATAGAATTTCATTGATAAAAAAGAGATTTTTTATCAACTAAATTACTTCATGTAAATAGTAAAATTAAATAATTAATATAAATTAAATTTATTTTTTCCTTTATATGAAATAAAAATGCTTTAAAAATTATATTACGTCGATCATTTTTAGGATTAACAGCCCAATTCGAACCCAACGAATTTAAATGTGATCCGATCACATAAGATCGATTTTTTAAAAAACAAATTCAAGTTTCAAGTAGAGTCAAGTTAAGTATTATTAAAAAAAAATCGAATTCAAATTTTAAGCAAATTCGATCCAACTCGATATTATATTAAAATTTATTTTTTAATTTTTATTTATACATAATTATATATTTATATATTTATATTTAAAAAATAGTATTTTATTAATTTTAGATCAAATTAGATTGAGTACTATTTATATAATATCAAATTAAATTGAATTTGAATATAAAAAAATAAAAAAAATTAAATTAAGTTTAAATTCAAAATTTTTATTATTAAATTAAATTAAACAAAAATTTACTCTCACATTTTTAAATTTATTTTTTTTAGGGTGGCAACGGACTAACGGCTACATTCATTGTTGATATCGATTTTCGCCGTAAAGTTATCATAGCCTTTTTATATTATTAAGAAAAAATGAATATTTTAAATAGGGAACAAGTCCCATCAAGCTGATTTTTCTTTCTTTCTTTCTTTCTTTTTAAGCCCTTTTTCTTTTCCTTTTTGTATTTTTTCAAGCAGCCACTTTGTAGATGATATGCACGTTTATGCAATGAATTCACACTGACTCTTCTGATTTGGCTGCATGCAAATTAGAGGTTATTATTGTCTATCTATTTGATATGGATTGCCTAGCTAAGGAGCCTGTTTCTTGTAGCAGTCCATTGTATTGTATTTCTTTTTTTTTTTCTTTTTAAGGGTTTCAAGTGTCATCTCAGGTGCAGATGAATTAAAATTTGAAAGAAAGGAATAACAACGGGAAGTTTTTGATTAAATTGAAATTTTTTTGTTCAGAATTGTTGTTTCAGACTTTGTTTTCCAGTGTTATTAGATTTGGTGTTGAACATATTAAGTCGGAACTCAGTTATTTTTTGCCCTTCACCATCAAAGACTCGCAGGTACTGATATTGTCAAGGTATAAAAACTTGAATCAACTTAATTTTGGAGCATGAGATATTTGATGAGGCATCCAAATGTACGTGCATGCCATGATATATGATTTACTACCTTAAATTATAGGCAGTTACTAGCTTGCAGGTTGTGTCCTCGAGAAAGAAAGCTGTAGAACACATGCACTAAACCATTCCGTTGGTGGCTTGAGCCATTGCCTTTTTATTCTGCTGGACCAAGATCCTACAGTTGGACAAGGGAGCTGTCTTTGTAGGTCAGGTCATGCAGCAGGTTAATATCTTTAGATGAAACCCCCCAAGATACTCTTAGAAATTGAAACAAAGTAAATCATCTTAATATCATATCTTGTGAAGTGTACTTTAAGGTGAAGGCTTGAGCCAAATTACTTTCCAAGAGAAGTCCAATCATCATAGATTCAATGCTGATGTGATCTCATTGGTAGTTAGATATTGTATCATTTTCTATTTCAGGACAAGGAAGAAGAATTTAAACCCAAATAGTGTTTCCAAGTGATCACATATTCACATTAGCAAATACTTTAAAGCCAAAGTTTATCTACAAATAATTTGAGCTTTCTTTTCTTATATGAATAAACAATATTGATTACAACTTCTGCTTTTGTTCGCGAAAATACTCAGACAGCAATCGCAACAAAACTGAAATAGTGTGACTACTTCAATAGAAAAAGCAGAATGAACATTGAAACCTAGGATTGTGTCGTCGATTGTTGCTGTAAAATGTAAGATGCTTCCATGTAGCAGGTGCAAAGAATTCATTCCACTTTGGCAAGTGGCAACTAGCTAGAACAATGAGATGCATAAAGGATTTCATTGCTGCTTGATAAAAGATCCGTGCCTTTCTCTGAAGCTGGCCAGTTGATGTAAGTCACCAGTCCAAGGTGATATTCCTAGAAATATAAAGCTTATCGATGTACTCTATTACTGGGCGTGAAGCTTCGATATACCTTCTCATTTTCTTCTCTGCCGTCTGATCTGCGACAAATAATATGTATAAAATGATTGTATCCGCTGAATTTCAACAGCTTTCATAGACAGGAAAATGGGACGATCAAAGCTATCACAACAAGATATTTTCTGGAAGATTTAAAAAGGTGTGTCATATATAGAAAGAGCATTAAGTGAAGACCATGTTTATATTTGAGATTTACACACTTCAATTCCTAAAACATATTAAGCATCCATAACCTATTATCTTCCTCTCTCCTGAATCAGACAAAATGAGCAAATATTGATCAAGGTTCAAGACAAACGTTATAAGGAGAGCAAACCTAACCCTTTATTCCTGAAATATATATTGTTTCTTGGAAGTTGCTCAATTTCAGCGATAGGTTTATCCGTAAAATAACATCTTGATAATATTAGCGGTTGGACTTGGACCATTAGCTAGCCAAGAACTACATTTATGCCAAATTTGATTCAAACTCACCCGTTTCATTGAGCTTCAGCAAAAGTTGTTCCCGTGTTGGAAGAGTATACATTCCAGCAGAAACAGCAGTCCTGATAGCCCATGTGTGGTATGGTGCACAAACTTGAGCATAAGCTGTTGAAGCTGCGTCCCTCAAAGAGTAATCCCTACAATTTAAAAGAAAAAAAAAAGTAAATCGAAGCACGAGATGACATGAACAAGCAGCGTCACTCAATCTCATTAACTCAAGTTTCCAGTAACATCCATGTTCCTTGTATCAAGGAAACAGAGGAAAACTAATCATTAATTTCTATATTTTCCAATAAATCCCACAGCCCTATTCCCCTCTACTATAAAGCAAAAGTCCTGCCCTTAATAACTGCACTCCTCAAATCGATCAAGATTGAATGCGGAAGGGTATATCATACTCAGATGACAAAAATTCTTCAAATAAAGCCCGGATGAGGTCAAGACCCTGTCTAACTCGACGCAGATTACGCGAATGGCTTCCTGGTTTTTTCACTGTGCCATTAGCAACATCTAGGTCAAGTACATTTTCTAAAGTGGCAAATCTCTTTGATGCTTCCACAAGATCATGTACCTGATCAAAGCATATAACATCCATTGGGTCAAGCTATTAGGTACATATAAAGAAGGCAAAACAAGAGTGTAGATAAGATTTGGAGTAGCATCAGCTCATCAAAATAATAATATTGGAACACGATAACGATCAAAAGGTCGGATGCAAATGAAACAAAATTGAAAATCGAATCAAATTCAAGGAAACTAGACCTTGATGAAATGTTGTATTGCATATGAATATTGATATATATAACAATGATTCACAACATCAGAAAAGCTGTCTATACTGTAGTTGTGTTTCTAAATTTTTTGTCACTAAACATTGTTTCAATCAATGTTTAACAAAGTGCCAAGTAGAAAGAGGTTACTCTTAAGTTTGCATTCATTGGCATCAATTAATATTGGTTCAATGGAGTCCAATAGGATATTTCAAAATAAATGCTATCAATATTCATAATACTTTATGAAAAATTTATCACTTATAACCTTATCACTGGACAACATGATTCAAACTTCTATCAATTTAAAGGATAAAAAAAAAAGGCAATAAACCTTGGCGACGTACTCCATCTCGGCGAATTTGAAGGCGAGGCCGAGGCAGCTAAAAAGAACAGAAACTAATGAGCATGCGTCACAGAATGTATCCAAGCGAAGTTCTTCATCCTTCATATGACACCGCAAGAACTCCGACAGCTCCTCAAACGCCTCAGCTATAGCCGACAGAGGCGTTTTCATTGTCATTGTTATCTTAGTTTGAGAATCATTAAAAACATTATCTGCTTCATCCATGGCTATATGATCTTTATTATTGTCTTGTTTTTGTTGTTTACAATTCCGTTTTCACTTCGAAATCGTCCAACATTTTGAATTTCATCAAAAAAGAAATGCTAGAGAAAGATGTCAAAAGGTTAATTGGAATAGAGTTTTACGTGTTGGCATTGATTCATATATTTTGGGTTGTGAAAATATGACAAGTGTATGGTAATGTTTGAGGTCACACTAGAAACACGGTCCGCCTAAGAAACAACTTGGTTTACAGCATTGGAGAAACAGAGGAGAAATTAATCTTTGGGAGGGTAAAAAAATATATACTAAAAAAAACTTTGGAAAATTCCAACATATATGTGGTCCTTTATTCCATGTCGTTTCCTTTTGGGTTGTCACTCGTTACTTTCTCGCCTATTTGATGGGATTGATCAATGTAAGGAAAATTTGGGTCAATTAATTGTGGCCCAAATGCAGGTAGACTCCACTAAGTAATCATAATTCATTACCGTCAATTCGTCATTGTTTTCACTGTTTTCCTTTTTTTTTATTGGGCCACTACATTTTTTCTAATTGATTAGTTGGGAAACTTGGTGTGGACAAATTAAAAGTTTCTCTGCCGTCTTCATGTCTCTCTTGGTCTGGCTTTATTTGCAGGTTTTAAAGATTGAAGAAAGGTTCAAGAATGTGTGGGCTTGCATGGTATGCCAAAATTAGAAGAAGAAAAACATAAAGTAGTTTTCGAAAGTTTTATTTTTCATCTATTACAAATCGCAATACTTGTGGTGGATTTTTCTTTCTATTATTTAGTATTTTACATGCTTATATATAATTCGGATTACAAATCTCCTAGGCTTCTTCTATACAATTAGATCTATCACTAGGCATGCAGGTTCAAAAGGAAGAACCATGCCATCTCTACCCAACTAGCTAGCCCCTGAAAATGCAAACTAAACCTTGCTTGCAAGCTCTACTCCATCTTCTTCAGATTCACTGTCTTTGCTATGGATTTGAATCGGCTTAAAAGTATACAGCTTAGCGCAACAGATGTAGTAAAGAAGATTAACAACTTGCAAGCCAGTGAGCAACCAGTAAAAGTACTCCAATTTTCCTTTATTTAAGTTGTTATCTGGAAGCCAATTTGATCCATCAGGTGCTGCACTAAATTTATGTACTAAAGAAACCAGCAGCGTACTCACATAATTCCCAACTGAAATTGCAGTCCAAAACAGTGCAGCAGCAGTGCTCCTCATGCTTTCAGGTGACTGATCATAAAAGAATTCTAAATGTCCAATTGACATGAATGCTTCAGCTATTCCATGAAGACTGTATTGAGGCACAAGCCAGAAAACTGAAATGGGGATGATTTCATGAGCCTTGTCTTCAAGCCCATGAGCCAAAGCTGCTTTCTTACGCTTCACTTCAATGAAGCCTGCTACAAGAGTGGCTAATACTGATATCACAAATCCGATTCCCATCCGGTGCAAGAAGGTGATGCCCCGGTCAAGCCCCGTGAATCTGCGGGCTATGGGGACTAAAATGCGGTCGTACAAGGCTATGGTGGAGAGCATGGAGACCATGGTGAAGACAGACATGGAACCAGCAGGGATTTCGAAGGACTTTGTGAGGTGCCTGTCCATGGTTTTGGCTTGTTGGAGGGAGAATGTGCCTTGCTGAGCATAGGCTGTGATGAGGAGGATTCCTGATGCCCATATTGGTCCCATTCGGATCACAGATTTCAGTTCCTCGACTCGATGAACAGTGTTTAGTCTCCATAGATTAGGAGCTTGGGATGATTTTACACTATCTTCTTCAGTCACAATAGCTGCCTTGTCGAGAAATCTGCAAGTCACCATATACATTAATTAGTAAATCTGAATCCGGCTTCCATATCAGTATTACTTAGAACCATGTCAGTCCAACAAATTTAAGCTTTAATTATAATGTATTTGTTTTTGGTTTAATTTGCTACAGATTTGTTTTCATATACATGCAAACAGAAGAAAATTTGACTTTTCAATTTATCACCATTGTCAGAGGGCGGATATTTATGTCTTTCTGCCCCGATGCAAGCCCACCAGGGGCCAGTAGTGAACCAGAGGTAAGGTGCAACAGTGAGTAAACATCTTCAGGGAACAGGTCGGGTCTGCTGGGGCCCGAGGAATAGTTTCTGATACAGACACTAAGAGAGCTTTCGTTTCTTTGCTAATAAAATGCAATTATGGGAGGTGATCAAGTGTGTGGTGCTGCTGAATAAGATCCGAGGTTGTGGCCCCTACTCCCAGTTATTTTACAATTCACAAATTTGTGAGTCTTTTGCGTATTTCAAGGTTTCCCACCTACAATGAACTCTACAATGAAAACTGACCTGATCAAATATGATTAAAAAAAAAAAAGTTGAAGGTGATCTTATCTACTTTTAATGTTCTAGTTTTATCCTTGATAAGTTTAGAAAAGGCAATGGATTGAATCGAGATAAATTTTTATTTCTTTTAAACTCAATTCGATTTTATAAATATAAAATTTGAATATGATATAATTCGATAATTTTTTTATTTTTTTAATTCAAATTCGAATTGATATAATATTATATAAAATTGTATCTTATTTGATATTATCATATATTAATAACATATTATTTTTTAAATATAAAATATTATTTTTAATATAAATATAAAATTAAATATATATAATTAAAAAATTAATTAAAAAATAATTTTTTTATATTTATCAAATCATGTCGAATTTGTCTAAAACTTGACTTTAATCCAATTCTAATTTTTTTTTATTATTACTTGATCCGATACTTTTTTTTTTTTTTAAATGATCCTAAGAGGTTAGGTCACTCAAAATCCGTCAAGTATAGGTTGGATTGACTTCCATAGATAAATTGATATGAAAACTAAAAGGAATTTATTAAAAAGCTTAAAATGAAAGTGATAATATATATGTGTGTATATATGTTTTTGAAATTTATCATTTCAATATACTTCATTAATGTACATGGGCACTTCACTTGGTATGAAAATTAAGAAAATAATGTATTTTAATGTTTTTATATTATTTTTAATTTTTTATTAATTTTAAATAAAAATAAAATAATAAGAAATAGAACTGAAAAGAGTATAAAAGTTGTAATTGATTAAAAAATGCTAACGAAAATTTGTTTCCAAGTTAAATAATTAGATGTCAAATTCCAATTTCACTAAAGGAAAATTTCATCCAATAAAATACATATAATTCTATAAAAAAAATAAATATAATTTTGGGACAGTTAAAAAAAGTTAGGACGAAAATTAGAAACATAACCTTATCTTCCATTAAGATAAAGGTGCTACACATAAAATACTAAAAGAGTATAAAATATCAAAAGAGTATTTTAAGTGTGAGAAACATGTTCTTCCTTTTAAATATCACTAAATTCAATAAAAAAAACTAACCATAAAGTATGAGGAAAAGGGTTAAAGATCACGTCAGTCAGTCATGATATGCATCGGTCTTTAACATACAATATATATATATATATATATATATATATATGCATATCTGTCCATAAAATTAAGAAAAACAAAATTAATAAGAAAAAAAAAGATTTTGCAACGTTAATAATATTAGTTTAAAAGTAATTATGTTTATAAGATATAATAAAATCTTAAAATTTTTTAAATTAAAATTAGTGAAATTGATCAAGTAAAAAAATATATTTATAATAAATAAACAATAACCAATTAAATCAATTCAAAAAATCATGATATTTTATATAATTATTTTTATTATTTAAATAAATTTTATTTAAACAGTCATATTTTTTTGTTTAGATATATTTATTCGTATCATCATATTTTTTACTGTTCAAATATATTTATTTTAAATCAATAATATTTTAAATTAATAAATAAATAATAATAATAATAAATTTAAAAAATTAAATCTATTTGTCAAATAAGCTCAAATATCCATTTTTTACTTTTTAAAATTATCTGATTTCTTAAAAAATCTTATAATAATTTCAAATGACTTTACTCACTTCAACACTTAAATCAATTACTTAAATAATATAAGTGATTTTTTTTAAATTATATATAAATAATCTTTTTATTCAATGTTAAATTAATCACGCTCTAAACTACCAACAATATCAACCAGACAATTATGTAATAACAGCTTGCTTCGATGCTACTATTTAGTTATCGAATCCCTGTCGGTTTATAGACAAAGTCCATCGTTTAGTACCCAATTTTTCCTCTTAAATTTTGACATCCATTGATGCAATTGTCTATTTGTTGGAGGAGACTGGAGACGGAGATTAGAAAGAGACAACTTACGTCATTTGTTTAGTGTGAACTAGCCTGCCGCCTAGAGAAATTGAGGCGTCAAGCTCTTTATTCCGGTACAGCAGCTTCGAATCAGAAACCATAGGCAATTTCCTCTTCCTGAAAGCTGCAACAGATACCTGTAACAACCGGGTAAATGGACTCCCTGCCGGATCCATGTGTCGGTAAAGCGGGTGCCCAATGACGAAAGCAATGATCGAAAGAAACATGGCAATGGTGGGAATACCAAGTCCCCATCCCCATCCAATGTTATCTTGAATGTAAACAAGCACTGTCACAGCCACCAGGATTGATGCCCCCATGACAAAATAGTACCAATTGAAATATTTCCATGTCTTGGTGGATTGCTTTGGATCCGTTTCATCGAACTGGTCTGCCCCAAATGCAACCACACAAGGTCGGATCCCACCCGACCCTAAGGCTCCTAGTAAGAGAGATCCGTATAGGATTGCCAATTGTCCTGCCGTAGCTTGTTGGCACACTTGCTCACCTTTACATGGCGGTGGCCTAAATTGTGGAAGTATTGCTGATAGTGTTAAAGATGTCATCCCCTGATTCAATCAATGAAAATAAGAAAAAAGTTGTTTTTTCTTTTTAAATATATCTTCGGAAACAAAGAAAATGAATAAGCTAGGGAGGCAATAGCTTGAGTTGACATAAAACAACATAGAATTTTTATTCTCTAGAGAGAATTCTTGATAACAACTCAATCTTTAGAAGAAGCCAAAGGCTAAAAATTTTAAATATTTCGATCGGCATCTCCTTCATTAATCTGAGAGAGATAATCTTACTATTTGGTATAGGATGGAAGCGACTGTTAGAGTCCAGAAACGACCGGCGTATGCATCAGCGATAAAGGCCCCAAGCAGTGGTGTTAAGCTTGCAGTTCCACCGAAGTTTGTGAGAGTGTTGGCTGCTTTGGTTAATGGCATATGAAGCTGTGTTGTTAAGTAGCTAATCATATTAGCGTTAAATCCTACCACGGCCAACTTCTCACAGACCTCATTGGCTGCATCATGTCAAAAACAAAGCCAACAATAAATTAAAACAAAGTCCAATCATAATAATAACAGCAAAAAGCAAGAGGAAATTCTTAAATAAACCAAGTGCATGTGTATATACACATGCACGAACATACACAGGATTAACGAAAAAGCTTACAGAAAATGAAAGGCATGGTGATCATTCCCCCCTTGGGCCTAATTTTAACATTGTTTTCGTTATGATTACTCTCCTCCATTTTCTCCATCTTAGTGATCTAGCTAGCTAGTGTCTGAAATGAAATGGTGTGTCTGAAATGAAATGGTGTCCCTGGAAGCCTATTTATAGGCCGGTTGAAAGGTTTTTAACTCTTGTAAGCCAGTGCCCGTAACTTTTTTGGGACAGATGGTTTGTTGCAAAATATCCACGGCCACAAATTGAGAAGTATAAGAGTTGGATAGATAAGCTGAGAGTGAACGTTCGTGAATAATATTCAATACAAAAGTGACATGCGGAGAGGGCAAGGACAATCAAAGAAGTTTAAGTTTTTGTTCAGCTTTTTGTTGGTATGTATTATTGCTGATATGGGGTCCTGTTGAGGTGGAAGCTATGGGGGATGGATGGATGGACTGACCCAACCTTTCTTAATAATTGTACAAGAAACATTGTTCAAAAACCAAAAGATGAAATGATATCAGACAATTTAATTGCGTCATCTCTTATGGTGGGTTATGGGGTGCTACCACTTCTTGAAACATTGAAAAATTAAAAAATGAGATAAAAATTAGAAACAAAGGACATTAAATTCAATTCCCACATAGCAATATTTTTCCGTGATCTCTTTGGCACTAATTAATTTACCCATTTTCATTGATTCTAATTGTACTGAATATTGAGTGAAGGATGTATTGCCTGATCAAATGTGATGGATTGACAAATGATTCACCGTCAGTCATCAGGGTTGAGATCAGACGAGTTGTGATTGTCAAACTTCATCGATTGAAAGCAAAAAAGGAAAAAATAGTGAAGGGAGATGATAAACTTATTTTATATATTGAATGATTTAACATGAATCCATGCCTCACCTGCGAAAATTAAGACCATAAGGTTTATACTTGGTTAACTAGGGCAAGTTGCTCGTGTTCCGCTAGGCCTACTTTGGACATTCCCCTTTAGCATATCAACTTCTCAAACGATGACTTCCTTGCTGTATTGAAACTTGTTTGTATTTTGGCCATAAAACCACAAAAAATATTACACTTCTTTACCAGGAAAATAAATATTTACACTTTTCAGTATTATTATATTTAATTAATCGATAAAGTCATCGATTGTGGTATCATTCAATTCATGAGTGGATCTTCAAATTCATGAATAAAATGATACTGTTAGATTAACAAATTATTACAACATTAAGTGAGACGAATAAAGATTTGGGACAAATACAAATTTTCTTTTTAAAAAAATGAACATTATCGATCCATTAATAGATCTTTTTTTTGCCACGTTTAACACAAAAGGTTTATAAGTTGTGAGTGTGAAAATATTGACTCATGATAGGACATATATATATTATAATCAACCCTATGTATGGGAATAGTGCTACCTTGTATTTTACTTTTCTTTCATTTTTTAAAGAAAAACATATGAAATTGAGGATTTTTTTAAAGTTTTAAATTTACACGATATTTGGGAAGTTAATAATTGGAGGTCCAATAATCTTCTAGAGAACCCCTTTATTGTTCCCTCTTTACAGCAAAAACGCAAACCCTCATGTGGTTGACGTGTGAGATGATGCAAGAAAAGGATCAAATAGAAGTGAAAAAAAAAAATCTAAATCCAATCACAATCACAATCACAATCGGAAAATCTCTAAAATATAATCAGACAAAGGATTACAGCAGGATTTTGATGTAAGAAGAATGGCTTGTCTCAACTACGTGTTCATACTTTTTCTTGATTAATCCGAATCTGGTCAAAATCAAATCAATTAATGACAATTTTATAGTTTCATTTATGTTAGTGTTATTTTTAATAAATTAAGTTTAAAAAAACTATTTCATGTGTCTGTTGGTTAATTAGGGTATGTCGCGTGGAGGGTGGCCTTTTTTAAGGGGCTTACCTTTATATAATTTTCATTTCATTTTTAGATAAGACCCAGCTCCTGTTACCTCAAAAGCAATTTGATTTGTCACTGCTTTTTCAATTTTCCCCTAAACGAAACAGGGAAGGCAAGAAAATTGAAATTATTAAGGGCAGGTAAATTTGAGAAGGTTCGGCGGTGAGAGCTAATGTGTCCTTGGGAGGCCACGTAGTCCTTAAGGGTCTCTTTCCGCGTGCTGTTGTGTTGTACAAAGTAAATTTGAGAAGGTTTGGCGGTGAGAGCTAATGTGTCCTTTGGAAGGGCACGTTGTCCTTAAGGGTCTCTTTCAGCGTGCTGTTGTGTTGTGGATGTTTGTTGGACCTTTCCTTTCTATCCTTCGGTTCTGTTAAAAAGACAAGAGTGACATAAAAGTGATGGCAAAGAATGGGAGTCCTTTCAAAGACAATTATAATATTGTGTTCTCTCTTCTTCGATGTCATAATTTTATTGGCTGTAGGAAACTGTGGAGGAATCTTAATTTATGATCACTTCTCTGACTTTTCAGTATCCATCCAATAAGTGATTGAAATCCTATTTTCCATTATCGAAAAGCTAGATTTTCTGCATGCTGTTCTTTTCCATGCCGGAAAAAAAAAACGGTTTGGACTGTGACCTTCCTGGCCGTAGTTCGAGGAAGTGTTGAATACTTTGCTATCCTATATTATATTTCCATGAAAGATCTAATCAATTCAATTCGAAGATTTTCGTTACAAGAAAATAAAAGATTAATGATAAGTTTATAACGATATTTTATTTATAAATATTATTAATTTTTATGTTTTTATAAAATTTAAGATGTTTATTATTAAAATATTATTAAATATTTAAATAATAGTATTATTATTTATAAATATTATCCAAAATTTAATATTAGTAGCATTTTTTTATTAAAATATCTTGAATAATTTTATTTTAAAATTTTGAGTAAATACTAAAGATGTTTTTTTATAAAAAATAGCTTGCATAATCCCATTAAAAAAATTGATAAGAAATTAACGTTTTTGGTAGACAACATCTTCATTAATCTCCTCATAAAAAAATATATGTAATTATTGAAGACGTTTTCTATAAAAAAAATACCTTTAATAATTTCACAAAAAAATTTCACAGGTTGATTGAAGGCATTTTTTGTGAGAAACGCATTCAATATATATCATATCAAAATTTTAGGATCGTATGGATGTTAACCATAAGGTTGTAAGTTCGATCCCTCCCTTTAGCTTTTTTTGGGTTTTGCAAAAATTATTTATAATTGATTATTTTATGTATTTTTTTGACAAAAACGCATTAACCAATTGCTTTAAAAAAATTATGGAGAGAATATTGAAAGCGTTTTTGGTAGAGAAACACCCTTAATAATTCATAAGAAAAATATGAAATCGATTCTTGAAGGCATTTTTGGTCGAACTCGCCTTCAATAATCCAATTAATAAATTTTTAGTTAGGATTATTAAAGTCAGTTTTTGTCAAAAACGCCTTTAATAATCCATAGACAAAAGTTGAAACGGATTCTTGAAAGCGTTTTTGACTCAAAACGTCTTTAATATTTCAGATGATAAATTTGAATGGTCAGATAATTGAATGTGGTTTTTTTCAAAAACGCATTCAATAACATTTTGTTATGGATTATTCAAGGCGTTACCGGTAGAAAAACGCCCTTAATAATCCATTCAATTAATTTTTAGTTGGTATTATTAAATGCGATTTTTTTTTAAAACGCCTTTAATAATTCATACAAAAAAGTTGAAACGGATTCTTGAAGGTATTTTTTGCCCAAAACGCTTTTAATATTCCACACAATAAATTTTTAAGTGGGATTATTAAAGATGATTTTGGTGAAAAACACCTTCAATAATATTTTATTAAGGATTATTCAAAGCATTTTATTGCTAAATATACTCTTAATAATCCATAAGAAAAATATGAAACAGATTCTTGAAGGCTTTTTTCAGTGAAAATGCCTTCAATAATCCAATAAATAAATTTTTAACAAAATTTATTTAAGGTAATTTTTTTCAAAAATACCTTCAATAAACCATACACAATATTTGGTACGGATTCTTAAAGGCATTTTTTTTTCAAAATACCTTTAACATTCCACACAATATATTTTTATGTGAGATTATTAAAGGAGATTTTAGTTAAAAACGCCTTCAATAACATTTTATTAGGGATGATTCAAGGTATTTTTTTGCTATAAATGCCTTCATTAATCCTATCAAAAAAATATATTGATATTATATATATCAAGTCAATTATAGGTTTATGCCTAGAAAATATTTGGTTTATATATGTAATACTACAAATTACATTTTAAAATTTACATAATGAACATTGTTGTATTTCAATAAATTGACCACACATCCAAAATTAAAACTAGTAACGTTCTCATATTAATATACTTTTCTAAAATAATTGTGCTTAATAATATATTAAGTACACATAATATATTCATATTAAGTATACCATTAATATTAAACCAATACCCCAATGTACAAACTTAAAGTTTTTATTCAACATAACATGTTAAAAACATTATAACAATTTGTTCCTCATATATTTACATTCAATCAACAATGTCTAACCTCAAGGTTTATTAACATTGATAAATGATAATACATACTCACACCATTCTTTACGGACTTCATCCAGTTCCTCTTTCATGAAGCTTTCTTTACTCTCTCATTAAAAAAAAATCAGAAATAAATATTAATAAATGAGAACATAATATACATTTTTATTTTTTTGAAGATATAACGAGTTTATGAAATTTATACTAACCTTGAATGGTGTGGTCATAAAATCATCTAATACTATCTCTCACATAAAACGAAGAACATAATATCCACATTCAGTATTACCAAGTTGACGAGATACCTGAAAATTAAATTAAGTGGGTTTAAAAAATATTTATCTATACAAATTCAGCATAAAAGAATAAATTTCACATTTACCGGTAATGACACCTATTTTGATTTCTTTGTCTTCTTATCGAATGCATATATTTACCTTAAATTGAAAAGAAAAAAATTTACTTAATACATAAATAAAATTACTTATGAAAAAATAGAAGATATATAATATAATAAAGTGTAATACCTTTTTATAAAAGTTTGAATATCGGGGTTAGGTATCACCATTGGATTAACTGAATTAAGTAGGTATGACATTAAAGATTTGGTGTCACTCACAATAAGTACCCAATGATGACTGTAAAATAATAACGATGATATACTCAGATTACGCATCAGATTAGATTTGGGTAAGGTTGAAATAATTAATGTTAGAATATAATTTACTGCATATCATATGGGAGCAAATAATAATCAACTAATTTTTTCATGCATTCGATCACATGATTAGCATAATAAGCGACTGTATCACTCTGCTCACTGATGAAGTTAAGGTCAATGAATCTAAATATGTTGGTCAACTGTCTCCCCTTGAGCTCTTTATATAGGAAGCTGCATGATAACAATCAATACTGCCAGTTAGTAGTACACCATAATATAAATTAATACATATTGAATGTGCATATTTGTATTTATAAGCTAACCTCATATAAACAACAATATCAACAGCTGATAATTCATCCAGTTCACAAAATTATTTAACCTCCTTCACACCAATGAAAGAAAATAATGGTTTATCAAATAACCCTTCTTTAGACTCAATGGTTATGAAGTTTTCTTCAGATAAATGCTCCAACGAATATTTGGATAACTCAGCCATAGTAGCTTGAGCAAGGGTCATACTGTGAGTCCCAACATCCTGCTACAATATTTAATGAAATATAAGTATTAAAACCAAATCAATAAATATAATAAATAAATTAATATTAAAATTATAAATAAAATCATACTTCTTGAGTGGTAACGAAGGATAGGTTCACTTTTTT